GTGTGTGTGTGTGTGTGTGTGTGTGTGTGTGTGTGTGTGTGTGTGTGCGTGTGTGTGTGAGGTACACACACCTGACATTTACTACATTTTTGTTTACATTCAGTTTATTCATCTGCAAATATTGTCTACACAATTTTATATTAGTTTCTTTTAATATTTATGTTTGTAATTTAGCCCTATATTTTAACTTGAATTTTATTTCTTAGCTCATTTTGCTTTAACTTCTGTGATTTGGATGACAACTGCTTCTTTCATTGTTGGGCACATGATAATTAAAAACTTGTATCTTGCATCTCTATCTTTTATTTTTTCCCACTGACAGCACTGGATCCAGTCATCTCATCCTAATATCTTAAGCATTGGTTTGGCATATGGTATCTTACCTGCATGACTGGTGTTCCTGTGTTGTTGCGGTCTTTCTCCACAAAAATGACTTTCGGTCTCGTTTTCTATGATAACACACTTTGTGAAATTTTACATTTACCATAAAGTACACCAGATTTCTATGGTTTTAAGAATCTTAAAGCCACTATCCATATTTTTTGGATGAATAATCCCATAATCTATCTTCTTTAACACTGAACACAGACTTTAACAACATAACATGTATTTAAGTCAGCGTGCCCCAAACCTGAATAAATGCCCTCAATGACATAAAAAATCCTCACAAAAATCTTGACATTAGTATCTCGGTATGCATTGATGACCCACCACCCTGGGGGACAGAGCATTCGCCATCGCCGCCCCTACCCTCTGGAACTCCCTGCCCCTGGCCATCCGGAACTCTGACACACTCCCCTCATTCAAGACTCAACTTAAGTCCCATCTCTTCAGGATCACCTACAGCATCTGAAAATCCTCCCCCCTTCATCCTCCACCCGCTCTCTGTCTTAATATATGGTCCCTTTGTAGTGTAGTGTATAGTGTTGTTTATTTGCCTTTTGTTTGAGTGTTTTGTTTGAGTGCCTGTTTCTGTGCGTATTCTTTTGTAAAGCGTCTTGGAGTATCTAGAAAAGCGCTATATAAAACTGATTTATTATTATTATTATTATTATTATTATTCTGCACTAAAGAGCAACTAGTGAAGGTGATCCAGTGGAGACACACTCAGTTAATATCTCAAAATTTCAACAAATTATGACAGTTTACAACAAATTACAATATATTTTTGTTCACATCAGATCAAATACATTAAATTACGAAGACATTAAATTACACCATTGATAAATACACAGATAAGATTTCAAGGGTGAATGAATCATAACTTTCAAACAGTCACATTCAATGGCAGATACCATGTACAATTTTTCCCATTCCACTTCTTATAGAAATTCATTCTTTGTCAATTATACATTTATAATATTAAATTACTGCATTTCTTTCATTTTTATTATCAATATGAGATTGAATCAGTAGGTGCATTACATTTCACTAAACAATACCTTGTGTCACATAACTCAACATAGAAACACGATTTATCAGTGTGATTTATTACACGACAGCAGATTATCTCCCAAACTGTGCTCAGTTTTTTATACCACAGCCACAGAAAGCACTTGTAATGGCTGGCAGCCCCATTCAAAATCCTACACCAAGACAACTCAAACACTACCGGCCAACAGTTTTACTACTATTGTTCTAAATCTGTGTACAAAAACTGGAGGTAACCATAGCAACAGTACTTTTGCTTTAAACAACATTACCTATTAACTCTACCTGGTCAAACAAACCTAATTATGGGTTAATGCTTGACAACAAACTTTGGAGACAGTTTGAACACAGCTTCTGTTACAATGTGGCTGTGATAAAAGCATGATGATACACTCAGTAAGGTGTCCTTACACTGCACAACTGTGTAAAAGCAGGGAGTCTAATGTGACCCTGCCCCCAGGAGAAACAAGACCCAAGGTTATGAGCCGTCAGGCATCAAGCCAGTACCAAGCAAAAGCCAGTGACTTCACAGAGTGCATGCTGACCTGCTTTGCTCTCCTTTCTAACAGTCACTGCATGTTATTTAGTCCACTTAAGTGAAAATTCATCTGTGTAGTCACAATAAATTCTGCTGACTTGTACTGTCTTGCAGTGGATGTGATGCACATATTTGTCTGTGAAAGTCTGTAGTGTGTATACATTTGTTTATGAACCATGGCAGCAGTTGTCAAGTTACGATAGGTCTTCTCAGTGGTGCCTACTAAAACAGAACTGTGTAGGTGAATGTCCTAGTGATGTGTATTTGTGCAGTCATTACTTTCCTCAGCTGTGCTCTCTCAGAAGCCCTGTATATGGCAATAGGCCTCCAAGCTGGAGAAGAGAATATACAGGAACCAGAGTCCAAAGAAAAGCAGTGAAGTGAGGACTTTGGAGATCTGCGGGCCACCAAGTTCACCACCTATGGATGGCCTCCGGCGTAGCATCAGGACCCCCATAGAGATGAAGGCAAAAATGGTGAAGAGTGTGACAGAGAAGGCCAGTGAGCCGGGGTCAACACGGAAGATCTTACCTTTGACTTGCCAGTATATGGCAGCCACAGACCAGGCCACCCCAATGCCTAAAAAAACATTGACCGCGTTGCTTCCTGTCACATTTCCCACACATGCATCTGCATACTGGTCCTGAGTGGCAGCCACTTTGCTGGCAAAGGTATCTGGAAAAAAGTGAAATTAATAAATAAATCAATAGCCAGGAGTTCAATAGTTTAATCCAACACAATCTCCTTTAGGAGCTTATAACCCTAGCTAAGACTTCTAGAATACATGACTTATGGCCGGTATACACTGTGCAATTTTGGGCTGTCCCAGATGAAAGATGGCCATCGTGGGAGAAACGCGGCGATATCTTTGGTCATGGCTCTAAAACGGTGGTCTTACGTCGCACTGTGAGACAGGTTCAAGGACGGCCGTTGTCAACGTCTTGCGACCAAAGATAACTTGAGATAAAATTCTGACAGTGTCAGAAATTTAGGATGACTATCTCACAGTGTGACAGCTGTTACGACCTACGTCTACTAATCAACCAATTGAAATGCAGCAGGAAATGACACAATGGTCACCGCGACACCGGCGCTAAACCCAAACAAATGATCGCTTGCCATGGAGGTAAAACGAACAAAAAGAAGTCTGTGGAACTCTCAGAAAGAGGAAAGTTTGGTAGAGCTGTGGCAGCAGAAACCTTGTTTATTTGATGTTTCCTCCAGCTGCTAGCGTGACCATGACAAAAAAGACGCTGCATGGAAGGAAATTGCGGAGAACGGCAACTTCCAGGTGAGCCAGCTACCTATGGTGGTGCAGATGGATGACGCTGATGCAGTGCACGCTGATGACGTTGCATATTGATGTATGTCGTAACCTGCGATTCAGTAGTAAACGGCCATCGTACAATCTGCACACATCAAACTTGACGTCATACCAAAGTTTATTAGATTCTCGTCTCACAGTGTGACATGTAATAGTCTTATAAGATGCTAAAATCGCACAGTGTATAGAGGGCATTAAACAATGGCATTACTGTGTGCGCGTCCTAGTTAGGGATATACTGTATGTTGCAAAAACTGTGACTGGTTAGTAGAATCACTCACCAGGAAGTGAAGTCCCCAGTGCTACAAAGACCACTGCAGTAACGGAGTCTCTCAAGCCGACAGTGCAGCCAAAATGGGAAGCTAGGTCTCCAATAACGGCAGTTAATAAACCAATGACCGAGATTGACACTATGAAGCAGGCCCAGCCATTCCAGTATTCTGTGGGTGGTACACAAGCAAACAGGATCTTCCAGAAAATGCACAATATATGCATGAAATAGTCGAAGCAGTTCGGCATTCGCTGCTCCTCTCCCTCCTCCTCATCTCCATCACCTGTTTAAAGAAGACACAGAGAAGAGAAATCAAATAGCACACCTTCACTAACCTTGCTTCAAAGGAAAAGTTAAACATTTCGGACACAGCCATAACTTATTCCAGTACATAACTCCCCTGGTTTTTGTGCCGTTGAAACAAGACATGATTTAACATGTTAACGACATGTTAATTCATGACATGTACATTACTGGGCTTTAGACAGAGAAATGGATGGGTCAAACAAACACAGGACTTTCACCCAGGAGACTACAGTTAGTGTTCCATGTGAAATCAAAAGTCAGTGTTGTTTTAACATGACATTAATTAACGTTACCTTATTTATGTTTATTTATGTACGATAGCCGCGCACATTTAGTTATATAACATACTTTTCTTTTGTAAGCTTAAACCTAACTGTACTGTAGTTGTAACTGTAACTGTGACCATTTCACAACATTAACCATGTGTTACGATGTGTTTCAGCTCTGCATCACAGAGAGGCTAAAGGGTGTTGTTCAAACAGAGTTTGAACCATTAACAGAATTGACGGTAACAGCGATGACATTTCCCACCATTTTGTGCCTTATCTCCAGTGGTGCAGTGGAGGGTATACTCAGGTATACGGGGTATACCCACTTCTTTTTCTATCCAGTTACAGTATACCCATCTATCAGCTAAAAAGCCATTGTAATATATAGGAGAGTATGCCCACTTCCTCATGAGTAACCTACCTATCTACCTAGTAGTACACCTACCTCATCAACTACCACTACACCACTGCTTAACTCCAAGGGCTCTAGTTTCGCAGACCGGGCGAGGAGGGGGCGCAGTGCACCTGCGGTTTGCCAACTGGGTGTGGCCAGGCGGATTTTGCAAGTTTGGCACACCGTGTGCGCTGGCGCAGTTACTCCTCTTTCCCACCTCCTTCTCTCCTACCTGCGCAAGTCGGAAAGAGGGAGGAGAGAAGGCGTGGAGTGGGTTTTACACACATCACACCAATCAAATGAGCCCCCCTCCTCGCCCTTAAATGCGCCGCGCGAAGGCGTAATGAGAGTTTACTCAATTTGCCATGACAGAAGAGAGCAGCAGCATCAGACAGTTGCGTTTCTCTTGTGCGCACGTGCGTGCGCTCTCTCTTTCGCTCTCATAGTCTCACTCTGTTTCTTTTCTTCTGACTTTTCTAAGATGACAGATGCTGAAAATATACTCCCTATCTGATGCTGTGGCTGTTTGTGGTTGGCTGAGAGGGATGTGAACTCATTAGTTTGCAGCTGTGTTAATCAAATCAAGTTGGGTTTCCATTACGCGTGCCAAACGTGCCATACGGTGCCAATCCCTTTTGATCTGACATCAGATGTGACGGGACAGTCGATATAGAGATACATTTATGTGCTGATTGCAGATAGTTGCATTGAATAGTGTTTTTTTGGGTATTTATAGCATCATTAATGTGCCTGATATTCTGGAAACCTGCCTGTGAGGTTTTGGTGAGGTGTGTGCACTGTCCGCCGGTCAGCCAAACTTCGGCTTACACCAGCTGCGCTCTGCCTGTGCTGACAGTAGACCTGGTTTCAGCTGGCGAGCTTTTAGTGTACCTTTGGTGAAGCCTTTTGGCACAAAACTGTCACTGTGCCAAGCTGGATCTGTTGGCACCTCCTCCTGCTGCGCCACCACACCCATCTCAGCGCACCTCGGTCTGCCAAACTACCAAACTGAGCGCGCCTCGGGTTGCGCTGCTCGATACTAGCTCTGCACGGGGTTCGCCACCCTGCGCCGCGCCGGGAAACTAGAGCCCCTTGTGTTAACCAGATACCACATAGCATGTCTAAAACAGACTTTTATGGATTTTCACCACATTATTGTTTTTTAAAAATTGCACAAGAGATTCACGGTAACATCACAATAACAGATCTGACAAATAATTGATCTACTCTTGGTGTATCCGCAACACTCTGTACAAATTAATGAGAGAAGCATGGAATACCTCACTGCCTTTTTTATGTTTCCTGCTAGAAGAAATGACATCACTGTGTGCAGGTCACATGGTTCTTATGTGAATGCTTTGGAGATTTTCATGGAGTTTTTAAATTGCGTATAATACAGAAAATTAATATCCTGTATGCTTGATTTTATAACTGTTAACAGAATGAGCACACACACGCATGCATGCACGCACGCAAGCAAGCAAGCAAGCACGCACGCACGCACACACGCACACACACACAAAGTTAGACTTATTATTTCATGTTAATTCAAGTTAAACGAATGAATGAGGAGCTGAAGACAGTCAGTAATGGGTCAGGTGGGATTCATTTGGTAATATTTTATCTGTAAATTGTCCCTAAAATATACATCAAGCATTATTATTAGTAAAAGTTTGATGTAAACAGTAGTATTATTCATAACTGATTCAATAAACATTTTTTGGGTGAAAAATAACCAAAGGTTTATCTGGGAGACACGAAATGAAGGTTTCAGCAATGACCTGGTGATTTTCCATCCTTTTGTGAAGCTATCATCTGTAAATCTATTCATGTATTATAAAAATGAGTCCTGTTCACGTCCAATCAGACATTTACAAACTGATGTAAATGAAATGCATGTTGTCCCTGGCCTGCTAACTTCACAGAGGACGCAGACCTGACCAGCTGTAACATTTCATTATAAACATTTATTCAAACATGAGACCCAGTTTCACAACTGAGTAAATGTAAAACATTATCCACATGAATAACACACAAAGTTTACCCGGTTAAATGCAAAATACAAACGTAGTGCAAACTGACCTGCACTGACTGTGACTGCTCCAATGAACTGCTCTCTCCACGAATGAGTGCCAATCACCACAGCCAGATTCGTGTCCTTCAGGAGTTTGTCCACTGTGTTCTGTTACAACACATACGTCAGTAATGAACCGCAGGTAGTCATAGCTCAAATCAATATACACAGAACAGGTGGGTTCACATTTCTGTCACTCAGTCTCAGAAGGCTGAGACCTGTTGTTACATAAAAAGAGAATTAATGGGAATAACAGCCGCATAATGATGTAAAAAAGTTGGTCACAAAAAGGTTTTTGTAAGCTGGTTTGTAGGCTGGTTGATGCAGACCAGTTGTAGTTTGATATCCAAAACAAATATGACAAATATGTATCAAGTCAAAATACGGTCACACGTACTGCAGCTGTGCATGACTGAGCTGTGTATGATACCTGAATTGGAATTAACATCTTGTTTGAATACATTAAAATGTATGAATACGTAAAAATGTTTTGATCAAATAGGGGAGTGGCATACAGCGGTGGGCCACAGGCTGGAGTTGAGTGGCTGCTGCGGCAAGGAAGAGGCCTTTGTACATGGGGCGCCTGCTCTATCCACTAAGCCACCAACACCCTGGCTCTACATCACATTTTTGAATAAATATAAAATATTTGTGAGTGCATTAAGAAGATTTACACATAGGCTTGCAGTTACAGCTAGAATTAACGCCCCACAGTTGTATGCCTCCACGCAACAGTCAAGTTTCTCTTACAGTTAACATCCATGTGTGTGAAAACATGAATGCTTCACACATATCCCCTGGACAGCACAGAAGAACTATACAATCAGCACAGTTTCAGGGTGGACACCCAAGATTAGTGTCACCAATTCAGTATCTGATCAAATGTCTCCCCTTCTGTTCCTGAAATATGACATTAAGTAATGGCCAGATTAGTGTTTTTGCAGAACATTATGACGTCACAGTGACCTTGACCTTTGACTATCAAAATCGAATCAGTTCATCATTAAGTCGAAGTTAACATTTGTGCCAAATTATAAGAAATTCCCTTAAGGCAATCTTAAGATATTGCATTCTCAAGAATGAGACAGACAAGAGTCCTTTTTAAACAGGAATTGTGCAAATGTGCAGGATAGCCCAATCAGTCTTGATTCAGCATTGGCAGTATAAAAGCAAAATCGGGGAGTGCACCGATTCTGATGAATCACTGGGTCAGTCCCTCGGCGATTCTCTCATAAATTGGCCCATCCTTCACCGTCCCCGTCATTTGACGGTTAATGGCCTCTTCATTTGTGAAGACAGGAGGGCATGCAATTCTTTGTCTCCCCAGTTGCTCATTTTTACTGTAGTGTCTGTCAGGTTTGTGTTTCCCTCTTGCTATTTGTACTAGCTGCTCATTCCTGCTATCAGCTATTTCCTGTTTATCCACCGCCAGTGGGTCGCACGTGTGGCGTCATCAACAGCTCCTCCCACAAATCATCAACAGCCCCTTCCGTGGCGTAAGGGCGCCTTGTTCTTTTTAAACCAAAAATGTGTAAACCAATATGTCTACCCTACGAGGCGGAAAATTGGGCACCTCGGATCAACTCGCCAATCCGGCTCTGTGTGTCTAAATGCTCGCAGCTTGCCAGCAAACGGCCCAACATTCGCCGAAAATCTGGCAGTGTAAAAGGGGCTAAGGTTACAGTAACCTTAACCTTTGACCCTTTTCTTAGGACACTCAAATCTTTCAATGTCTGCAGAACCATGTTGCAGATGTTTTGTCATTCGGTGGTACCTAGTGTCATCCTCTACACTGTTGTGCACTGGGGCAGCAGGGCAAAGGCAGCTGATGCTAACAGACTTAATAAGCTCATCAGCAAAGCTGGCTCTGTCCTAGGAGTGGAACTGGAGTCTTTAGTGGAGGTATCAGAGAGATACTGAGAATTACTCGGTATTTTGAACAACACCTCTCACCCTCTGCATGCCAGTCTGGAGTCATATCAGAGCACATTCAGCCATAAACTGAGACCACAAAGAAGCACCACAGAAGATCTCCACAGAAGATTGTATTGAACTGAACTGAACTGAACTGAACTGAACTGAATTGATCACCTTAATCTAGTCAGTTCATTGTTGAGTCCCAGTGAACATTTTTGTCAAATTTGAAGAAATTCCCTCAAGGCATTCTGGGAATACTGCATTCTCAATAATGGGACCTATGTACGTATGTGTGTGCATATGTTTGGACGACCAGACAACCTGAAAACATAATGCCTTTGGCCATGGTGGTGCGGAGACTTAAAAAAGTGCTTGGCTGGGCCAGGAAACTCGATCTTAAATACTGGTAAATAAAGCTACGATCGTATCCTGACTTCAGTGCAGCCACTGCAAAAAAACAAAAAACAAAAAAGGAGCTGCATTCAACAAAATCAAACAAGCCCTCCACCACAAAGGTGTTAAATTCTGACTAATGTTTCCTGCTCACTTGCAAGTTCAACATTAGGAGGAAACCTTCACCTTTGAGGCACCAGAGGACACTCTTGCCTTGGATTTTACCCCTTTTCTTTGCTTAGTCCGAGTGAGTTGACTGTCCTTTTTTTTTTGCATTCAACCCTTGATGACTAATGTGGACATCTTCATTCCAGCTTATGTTTACCATTGGAATGGGTAGGAGAATGGCTTATTATTAACCTAACTCCTATCTGAATTTCTCCATAGTTCAGGTGTGTTGTGCATTGTGCAATGACACATGCTATGTTAATTATTATTATTTTGGCATTGTTTTATACCATACATTATTTTGGTAATTAACTATTATGTGATCCTCCTGCCATATTTTTTTCATCATCTGTATAAAATTAAGTGTAGGTGGATGTACACATGTGTGTGACAGCAAGATGGCATATGTGGTGTAGAGGGTGACACGGGAGTGGATTTTCACTCCTGTGCCATCCCACTCCCACAAAGTAATTTATTCATATTAAAATTCATATTAAAATTGCATATTTATACATATAAAACTAAGTATATTTAATCAACTATGTGGTACAGCATAATGCTGAAATAACTCAAACATAACAGCTGACAGCTATGTTGTACATATTTGTTATAATATGTTTAGAGTTGTTTTTAGAGCTTTTTTGTGTATGTTATTGTAATTTTTCTATTCTACATTTATGTTTTTGACTGTTGCAGTACTTACTGCCTTTCATTTTATTTCCTTTTATCTTTATTGTATATTTGTATACACCAAACACCAATGCAAAGCAGAGTCCTGCATTGGTTTACGTAAAACAAAAAAAATGGTGAGAACAAAAATATATTTTTTTATTTTTCTGAATAAAACAAATGCAAAAGATGTGCAGTATATGTGTAATATTAATAATATATTATATAACATCTATATCACTATTATCAAGCCGCAATTCCTTTTATTTTGAAAGTCAATGACACAAGTCAAACCTTTGACCACGTTGTCACATTTGTCACCAACGTAGCTCACGTGTGGGCAGGCTACAGTGAGGCTAAAAACAGAGTTCAAATGATGTTTTTCCAAACAACTTTTTATTTTGGGGCTTCAGGACACTTGGATCACTACGGACGAGCAGTAAGGAGATATTCTGTGGTTTCAATTATGTGTGTTTGAACGTTTGAATCTGGGGCGCCGTCAGCCTCCATTAGGTGGACTTGTGTTGCTACCCCCTCTCCCCTTGGATCTCCACAAGTGATGTGAGGACACTAAAACTTCACCTGAGCCTCCGTCGGCATATGCGTGAGTAGATAATGGCTGAATTTTCATTTTTGGGTGCACTATCCCTTTAATGTGAGTGACTGTAGCCTGGGTGTGTTTAATCGTGGGTGCAGGTTGGGTCGCAGGACTTTTATTAATGGGTGTGGGTGGGTGCGGCTCTGACTTGTACATAATGACAGGTAACGGGTTGGTTCTTCTGGTACTAGCTTTACGGGTATGGGTGCATAAGGGTTTTCAAAAATGGACCCGGGCAAGACTCTGACACAAAGTCCTTGTAGTGAAAATCTCTGTTTCATCTCTTGGAACCTGAGGGGTGCCAACCATCACTGGATCACTGCTATACAGTGTTCAGAGGCAGCTGCAAAGCGATGCTGCCCGTGTTGGAGAGAATCAACCATGTGGCTGTCTTGTTGGGGCCAGAAAGTGTAAACAGTTAAATCATTCCACAACCAGGAACCATGGATTACCAGACCCATCCAGAAATATGGACATGATAAAGCAGTAGCCAACAACGTAAGAAGACACAAAAAACATCTGGAGTTGTAGCTTTTTAGTTCCATGAGGGCTAAATTCCCCTCAAACAAAGCTTTTTCTTCTTATTTATTTATTTATTTTTTTACATTTCCAGCACCCCTACTCCCAAGTAAATATTTTCCCTCCCAGATAATTATTTATTGCCACGTGTAAATTGTCGTGAATACAACATTATTGTAATCTCTGACTATACCCTTACATTATATGACATGACAGTTTCCCCCCAGATTGTGGAGGCTGACCTCCTTATTGCTAGTCCAAGTTTCTTTTAAAGAATTCCTGGCTGTGCAGATTTCATTTTTCTTTGACACCAACAACTCTACAGAGATCTCTAGATCAAGTTAATGGCAAAATAATAAAGTCTACATGCATAAGCAAGCCATATAATCCCCGTGCTGAATAAGACAGAGAAGGCCAAGTTAGCTGCAACAAGTAATGACAATTTTAGAGTTGACAACCAGTATGCCTTAACCTTGACCCTTTCACTTTATATAAATGTCTTAAACTTCCGTCCAAATTTGATTTACTTTCTACAGGCAAGATGCAGAAACAGTTATTACTTTGAAATGGGTGATAAGGCTCATCAGGCCTGCACTGTATACGCCTCTATCCAGACTGAAGATCAATCAGTAACTAGTGTCGTGGTTTCAGAACCCTGCAGTGGTTTCCAACTGATGCAGCCACAGGGTCCACATTTCTCCTTAGTCATTAGTTTAAGGTCCACACAGTTTAATACATTCAGTGTCATACTTCTGGTTAGGCATGTTGTCAAGAAACTATCTGCAAAACTCCAGGCCCTGGTGGGTTTATTGTTGAATTCTATTAATTGTTTTGTGCTTTCATTGCCCCTACCCTTCAGAATATGTATAATGAGTCCTTTACAAAAGGTTGCCTCTCTCTGAGGCCTCAATCTCCCTATTACTCAAAAATAATAAAGATCCCCTCCTTCGTGGTAGCTGTAGGCCCATTTTTCTTTTGAATGTAGACCTTTCCATCAAAGATAGTAGCCCAGTGTCTGCAGCAGGTTTTACCAGCTTAGATGTTGCAGTAGGTGTTTTAGGCTGGGCTCATTTTAACTCCTTTATATACTGCTGGGTAGTTTCATCTACAGCAATGCATCATTTTACATTAGGTCATCATGACTGTTGTGACTGTCCTGTAAAAACCATGTATCTCTAAAAACAGCTTCTTTACAGCTTTGTGACAATACATTTTCCAGCTGATCCAAGTTTTAAAGAATTTATTTAGCTTAAGAAGTAGAAGAATTTGTGAGAATTTTGTTGGAGAACTGTTGACTGAAAAGTAATTCAAGTTGTCAGATTAATACAGTGCAGGAAAAAGTGTAATATTTGTCTCTGAGATGTAGCAGAGTAGAAGTATTAAGTTGCACAAGAATGTAAATGCTCAAGTAAAGTATGTGTACCTCGAATTTGCACTTAAGTACAGGTCTTGAGAAAAAGTACTTAGTATATTTCACCACCATCACCATGTGAGTATTTATGACCAGAGAAGCACGAAAAAAATATTAATGCAGCAAAAGGCCAAAGAGGAAAAAAAGATGCCTGAATCATGTGTACCAACAGCTAATTATTTTTAGTTATTAACCAGCTACTGTGTTTGTTGATGAATATTTCACCCAGATGTATCCGATTTTATCTAAAGTAAAATGTATTAATATTTAGGGACTGCTCATTATTTATTAGGAGGAAGGGATGATGCAAAAAGGGGAGGGACTTAAGGTTTTTTATTTGTCTTGGGGGGGGGCATACAAATTTAAATGGTTTTTTAGATGGTATTTTGTATTTATTTTATTGCAGATTTTTAAAGAAAACATGCCTTCAGCCTAAAGTCTTAAGGGGAAGGGCTGTTGGTAGTTGTAATTGGTTTCCTGCAAAAATGGCGAATTATAAACAATTCCATGGCTTATTGTTGTTTGGAAGATTAAGTTAAGCTTATATAGACCAAATCTCTATGCGCTAACAACAACAATCACTTCTGGATAGACAACTAGCAGTTGATTACCATTGTGGAGATATGTAAAAATCAGCAAACATATTGATTGCTATTGTCATTTTCAGCCATGACTTTAAGGTTTAAAGATACATAGTTAAACACTGTGGCCCGACCTATCTGATGTTTCTGCTGTGCTTATTTAGGTACTGTGTTTCTTGCCAGCATCTTTGATAAACCAAATCTACTTGGATGGAAGCTAAGCAACGTACGGCCCTAACCAAACATTTGTTAACCTCCTGAAACTAAATCAGTGTCAGTGTAAGTGTACGCTGTATTTGTGGATTTGCTTTGCTTTACCTTACAAACTAACCAATCGATGCCATGGTAGACCAGTGTTCTGCTAAGTTAAATAACTGTTTTTGTCAGTGGAGTCAAGTGGTTTTGATATAACAGCCTCAATGGCTTGTAAAATAGCAATGTTAAGTGTTGAAATCTTTTTCACCACTTTACCTTGCTATTTTACAAGCCATCTGAATATAGCGCACACTTGAACTGATATTAATTTTTTTGGTGGCCCTTTCTTAGGTGGCTTAAAACGAATTAACTGAGTCAGCGTTTTCTTAGCACTATTTGATTTTATGTATGAGATACGAAAATTTAAATGAATTTTGTGATTGTGATTTGGTCTATAGGCTCAATTGCCACTTGTTGCCATGGCGATGGTAAACATTCAGGTAGTGGGCTAAAGGAACATAAACACAGTGTGATCACAGTATTAATGTAAATATAAAGATAAGATACAATGTACAGTTTTTCTGTGATGATGATTATCATGATCAAGATGGATTCATAGAATCATTCAAATAGTACACAGCAATTACACTAGTCTTTTCAAATAACTTAAGAAGCATAGTTAGTACATTTACTGATCAGTGTTACATGGTCTATGTTAATACGCAACTGTACTCGCTACTGCTACAGCTGAATCCAATTATTAATATAAAATGTCAAGGATGCCTCCCCATTTATTGCATTTTCTTTTATTTAGTATTGCCTTACATTATAATAAAACACATTTTCGCTTTAACTTGTATGTAGTTAATATCTGTGGTGTTGAAAACATAGAAACAGCAGCTTGGGGGTGGCCAAAATGCTCTATACCAGTAACTGCCATGGTCATCAGAATGTCAATCTGCAGTGGTGAACTTTTTCACCAAAAAGTGGGTGTGTAACTGCAATCCTTTTTTGTAACTGTTAAGTTTTTTTTTGCAAATCTTTATGCACTCAGATATTTTTCCTTTATCATAAAAATACATAGATCTCCTTACGGATTCAAAAATTAAATCTGTTTATGCAGATATTTTTTATACATTCAAACATTTAATGTATAATATTTTCCAGTGGCTTAAGGTAGTTACAATAGGCCCTAGGGAGCTCTATTTTGATGGGCCCTAGTGTGCCCCAGTTACTAGTTATGAAGCACACACACACACACACACACACACACACACACACACACACACAGTTTTAAGAGTATAAACATTTTTCCAACAGAGTGCCTTACTGCATATATGCAGATGTGCCCAGCTTGTCAGCCTTGACAGATTTTGCACCAAAACTAACTATTGTAACACGATTAAACAAAGACCTGATATTGGACAACATCAACACACATATTACCCAGCAATCATTACATAGCTGTATTTAACAAAACTACAAAAGAAATTATTAGTTTAACTAAATAGTTTTTATAATTAAATTATTGTTTTTTTACAGTTTATATAGAATAAGTGTATACTTGTGTTTTGATATTGATACTATTTTACAAAAACATTAAACCATGATGGAAATGTTTTTTTTCAGGGCATATATTGAAAATCACATCACTTTTCATTTCACGTGAGCGCTTCTTGAACACACCCATATTTTCAGTGGCAATAAGGCCCCTCCACCCCACGGGCCCCAGTGCAACCACACTGCCTGCACTGTTTGTATTTATGCTCCTGATGTTTTCACACATTGGTCATACAAAGCTACAGTATGTTTCACCCAATATTGAATCCATAAACATGGCACAAAAGAATATCATAACCACAAAATCACTGGCTTTACTGGAATAACTGACCCAAAGTTTCACACACATCACACATGAATGAACACACATCTAAAATCAAGATGCATGTAATGCATGAGAAAAGTTGAGAAATAACACATAATTTACAATCAGAGTTTAAAGAGAAAATGAGATGAGGAAAGTCTAATCAGTCCCATCACTCACAGAATGCTGGCAGAAACGGTACCTGGTCTAGTACTCCATTGGGAGCCTGATGGATAAGAGGGTGTGAGGTAGTTAATGAACTAATACACACATGCCTAAATAACACTTACTAGTTGTCTGTAACAACCCAAATATCTGTTAAAGCTTTAAAGGAAAAAACACCCTCAAATTAAATATACGTTGCATGTTAACTCGTGTGTCACCATATTGTCAATTTCGACAAGCTATTATTACTTCACAAAGATATAGTTTGACATGCGGATGTAATAATATGTTCAAAGTTGCCTTTAAGCTTCATATGTTCACTCAAATTCTCTTTTGACAAACCATTTTTTTGTTTCCTAATGTTCTTAACTTAAAATATGTGTCCCTAATATTTGGTGACAGTTGGTTTACTGCTAGTTTAATACCTTCTATCAGCCACTCACACACCTTAAACTCACAGGACTCCTCTATGATGATCTCCAGCCTGCTGTGCTCCCCTAGAATGGGCTTGCCCATCTCAGAGATCCTCCGGGCCTCTTCCTCCTCAGGGGTGGGATTACCTGTCAGGGAGCACAGACATTTAATTATCGCGCCAATTTATTTTTTATGTGTCATTTACAAAACACACAAACGTCCTGAACTTCAGCCAAGGGTACGGGCCCACACATAAAGCATTAAGATAATAAAGCATTCCACACCGCACACACTTTCAAAGTATAACATTTTTTAAGGTGCTGTGTGTAGCATTTGGAGGAAATCTTGCTTCCAGAATTTGATGTATTTACTGTTGAAACAGGATGGGGGAAGACTTTTTCGCCCTGAGTTGAGTAGCTCTTTTTTCATAGACTCAGATCCCAATCGGTGTGTTCACTTTGACCTAATCCATCTATGACTCAAAATGTATGAATGGCAGAGCTTGTTGGAGGTAATACACAGCTAGCACTGCCTGCAAGTTTGTGGTCAGGAAAAAAAAAGCTACAGTCCAAATAAGATCAGACACAAGGTGTAAATGACGCCATAAATATATTTTGAGTTTATTTCTGTTTATTAATAATCCCATCCCCTAAACCGGATGTTATTGTCCGCTAGGCGGATACAGTTCAGAGCGCACAAAACACGGAAGTAAAGTAGATGGACACGAGCGAGAGAGAACAGAGCAGGAGAGAAGTTAACAGTCATTCTACAACTGGTCAAGTGCGCACACGGTAAATAGCTTTCCTTTGTTCTGTACTAATCTTTTCTTTTGATGTAACCAACTGAATGGTTTGTGGTGTGAAACGCTTATTTGCATAACAATAGTCCGTTTGCATTACATCACTGTGTATGAGCTAGCTAGCTTGCACGAGGCTATTGACACATTAGCACATGCTTCACTTTGAATGCTAGTTATGCACTACTTGAGAAGTTTAATTTTTGTTTATAATGCACTACAATTGATTCAGTAAGCTAACAGTGTTTATGTTTACAACTTGAATTCTTACTATGATGTTTGTATTGAATGGTGTAAAAGAGTAACATTTACTTAAAGGTTACAGGACTTACATTGTATTGTTTTAAATTGTGTAACAAGAGAAAGTAATGTAATTTAAAGGTAACTGTTGTAATGTAGCCTAATTGAGTTACATGTGTTTGAATGATTAGAAATCTGCTGTCTGTCAGGACAAATATTCATTGAGATTTTCATTTCCTCATTTTTTTAGTTTTCACGGTGTTCAATGAACGTGTTTCATCAACATGCCAGAAGAATAAATGCACTTTATTAACATCAGTATGAAGCGTGGACTCAATGATTGACCAGGAAGTAGGCCTAGTTATACAAGGGGAGGGATCATGCAAAAATATAAGGATACCGGTTAAAGACAGGAAGTTTTATTTGACAGAGGGAGCAGAGTTTTGTACAGACATATTCATATTATTGTAATTCCTTGTTGTAATTCTTATGTATGCTTTCTGGTAAACTGTTAACTAAGCCATGATAACCAGCAGGAGACAAATGTGGTAGAAGGACCTAAAGTTAATTTATACTGGTTTTGTATACTGACACCATTTCCCTCAGTGGAAACAAAGCTTTTATTTACTTTTATTTCACAGATAAGAAACAATAAATTGTGAAGACAGTAAAGCCTTCACTAAAATAGCATTTTAAAGTCTTGTGCGTAATTTAACCTTCAGGGATTTATACTTCGAGATTTATCCAGGTTTCATATGAGGAGAGGAAGTCTCCACTCATCGCTGGGCTAATTTATACAATGTAAAATGCCATAATAACTCTAATAATGCTAGCGCTAATATAATAACAATAAAGCATTTTGTATTTCTTTGGATACGTGTTTAGTATGACAGTCGTTAGTTGTTGAGTTATAATGGAGCCAAATTGTGTGCCGTTACCTTTGTTAAATGTTGCTGTTGTCCCTGGCTTTATATGAGTAGAGGGAAAGATTGCTGGCATGTAGGCTAATCTATACAATGTAAAATGTCATAGGCTTGTGCTAATAACTTTAGCATGTTATATTTGTTTGGAAAACGTGTTTAGTACAGGACAGTTGTTTTGTCAGTGAACTTTGTGAGTTGTAATAGAGCCAAATTGTGTGCCGTTACCTTTGTCAAATGTCGCTGTTGTCCCTGGTTTTATATGAGAAGAGGAAATGGTCGCTAGTAGCTAGGCTAATTTATATGGACTGCGTTTTTTCATCTGCGTAATATTGCGAAAATTAGGCCTATCCTGACCCGAAAAGATGCAGAAAAATTGGTCCACGCTTTTGTTACCTCAAGGCTGGATTACTGTAACTTCCTATTATCAGGTAGCTCTAATAAGTCTTTGAAAACTCTCCAGATAATTCAGAATGCAGCGGCATGTGTACTGACAAGAACTAAGAAACAAGATCATATTTCTCCTGTTTTAGCTTCTCTGCACTGGCTCCCTGTAAAATCCAGAATTGAATTTAAAATCCTTCTCCTAACGTACAAAGCTTTAAATGCTCAGGCTCCGCCATATCTTAGAGAAGTCATAGTGCCATATTATCCCACCAGAACTCTGCGCTCTGAGAATGCAGGGTTACACATGGTCCCAAAAGTCTCCAAAAGTAGATCAGGAGCCAGAGCCTTCAGCTATCAGGCTCCTGTCCTGTGGAATCCTCATCCTGTTGCAGTCTGGGAGGCAGACACCATCTCCACATTTAAGACTAGATTTAAGACTTTCCTTTTTGATAAAGCTTATAGTTAGGGCTGGCTCAGGCTTGCCCTGTACCAGCCCCTAGTTAGGCTGACTTAGGCCTAGTCTGCCGGGGGACCCCCTATAATACACCAAGCACCTTCTCTCCTTCTCTCTTTCTCTCTCTCTCTCTCTCTCTCTCCTTTGCTAACACTCATGTCCTGTTACTGCATCTCGCTAACTCGGCTGTACTGCATGTCACTAAATCAGCTTCTTCTCTGGAGCCTTTGTGCTCCACTGTCTTGCAGGTTAACTTATATTGCAGCGGTGCCTGGATAGTGTGACGTGTGTGGTTGTGCTGCTGCCATGGTCCTGCTGCTGCTGTTATCATTAGTCATACTTCTGCAGTTATTATACACATATGATTATTGTCACATATGTATACTATCAGATATTAATAGATACTTTCAATATTGTACCACAATAGCCATAATTAGAATTATAATATTATTACTTTAATTAATGTTGTTGTAAGCTACTGTCATTACCTTTTCCTGAGGTTTCTACCGTTTTTTTCCCCATTAAAGGTTTTTTTGGGGGGGGGGGGGGGCTTATCCGCTGCGAGGGTCCTAAGGACAGAGGGATATTGTATGCTGTAAAGCCCTCTGACGCAAATTGTGATTTGTAATATTGGGCTTTATAAATAAAATTGATTGATTGATTGATACAATGTAAAATGCCATAGGCTTGTGCTAATAACATTAGCATTTTGTATTTCTGGGGAACATCTGTCCAGATTAAGACAAGTGTTTGTCCGTGAGTGCTGCGAGTTATAGTGAAGCCAATTTGTGTGCTGTTTGAAATTGTCTCTATTAAGCCATATTTAATGTGTGTTTTGGGTGTGTTTTGAATCAATTAAATTTAACAGCACTTCACAGAAACCTCCGCTGCCGACTAGTGTTTTGGACATGTAACTGCAGAGTGACACAGACACACCACCCCACAAGTAAAAATGCTCAAAACAACGTAGGCGACATGCGTAGGCTACGTGCGTAGGGTCTATGTATGACCATAAATCTTTACTCCTACCACTTGTGGGCTTGGCCCCACCCCAAAGGCACAGTTGAAGTGCCAGTCCTGATGGGTCAGCAGTCCCCGCCCCCCAGTGGTGTTCTGGTACTGCCTACAGGACAGCAACCCACCTGCAGTGGACCTGACACTGCCATCAACACTGACAGCAACTAAGCACCACCTCAGCCTGGTCCCACCCCCAAGAGCGGCATACCATGCCCTCAATAGCTCCATTTCTACCAAGCAGTGGATGGTATGAATGCAACTGTTCTTAACTGTCCCCACTTTTGCTCACCCCTCTGTTGGGGTAACTAGCACATAGATCTGGTACTCAAATGTGGAACTGGAAACACGGCAGTCCATTGATTGGTCAATAGAGGACGGTCACTCTTGCTCAGGGCTGAGTTGTGGCTGGTTTTGAGGCTTATGTAACCATTGTTCATACTGTGGCAAGTTTTACATATATTAGTAAATTATACCTATAAAAAGAAAGAATGTTTTGCTGCCTCTCACAGCAGCTGTAGACTGAGAAAAAAACAATTTGAATCACTAGGCCGACTGCAGGCTTTTAAGGTGGAACTTTTAAGGTGGAACGTTTACTTGTAATGTTACTCAATGTATGAGCTGACGTTGTGAATCAATCAACACACCTTAAATTTCAATATGACAACTTTGACCATTTTTAGTAATGAGTGGATCTTCAAGCGTTTATAAATATATATTAATATTGACCTTGACAGATTCTGCAATTTACATTAATTTTTTTTTTTTTAAACCAGTGGATTTCCAGATTGATATTGACCAGGTTAAGTGAACTGCATATATTCTAAAAAAAAGCATTGTGGAGCCTTGCTCCTGTGGGCTACAGCAACAACAAACCCCTGTGCTTGCCTGTGAGGGACAAAATGTAAAAACCTGCTATTTTTTAAATATCCCATGGAAAGAGACTTTCACTGTTACTTTTGCTTCCAAAGATACTATACTTTAAGTGTTTGATGGAAACAGGGCTAAAGATAGTCTGGTTCCCACTCCCAGTGCTAGCAGGCACTGCCACCAGGAGTGGTAGGGTCCCCACCCAAAAGGCAACCGTACTCCCCCCAGTGGCCCGGCCCCCATCACACACAGCAGGTCCCACCCTAAACACCAGTCCTGACACCCTCCCCAGTCCCCAGTATCAGCAAGTCCTTGCCCCCAGTGCTGACAGTCAGCCCTGCCAATATCAGCCACCCCCTCCATCACCCTCAGCAAGCACAATTAATCAATGAAGACTGGCTGTTTTCCAAGAAGTAAAACTAATAGTATGCTAATGTATATTACAGCATAAAACAAGAGGTAGCATAAATGGAACAAATGTTTTCAGTGTTTCTGACAATGATAAATCATGGAAGTGATGAAAGACTGAAACCATGTCAGCTCTTCTTAATGCCAGAGTGTAAAAGAAAAGCAGCATAATCATTTTTGCTACAGAAAGCAAAACCAAGAGATCTACTGATCTTTTCTGGATTCCAGTTGTCTCACTCATGGCCGAGGCAGATTTGCATTACATTACATTTATTTTGCTGACACTTTTATCCAACAAAGTACTTTCAACCATGTGGATACAACAAAAAAAAACAGCAAGAATGATGCATCAGCTTCAGTAAATAAACTGATATACCTTAAGTGCTGCATTTAGGCCATGTTTACACAAAAATGATGCACTGAAAACAGAATCGTTTCTCATTTTCGTTTTTAAAAAAGTTCCGTGTTTAGACAACATTTTGATAACAATTGGGGAAACGTAAACGATTGGCCAAAATGCAACTAAAGTTAACCGTTTTCAGTTGAAATCACTGTCGTATAAGCACGACCTTAGAAACAAAAAGGCCCTGTTTATACCTGCAATTAATGTGTCTTGGGCGATGCAATCATAGGTGGACAGCGCTAAATGTATGTGTGAACGACCACTTAGACACACTGTGATCCTATCACTCAAACCACTTGCCCAGGTGGTTGGGGACGCATTTGACCACATATCTGTTGCAGTTTAAACGCTAATGCGTCCTGATGTGTCCCCAATGAGGACAACGTCATCAGTGCAGGACGTGGTGGTTGTTTTGGTGACAGTGTGCTTTAACTTGCCCATTTAGCGAAGCTGCACCGATACAGCAGCTTGCCAGCAGCTAGCAAGAATGTGGATGTAAAAACTGTCCACAGGGCTCTTTGACCTTCTTGGGTAAATGATGTAGGCTGTAATGAAATCTGAAGACAAGTGGTCAGCTGGAGACACATGATAGACACAGATTTGGACAGCGATGTGTCTCAGCTGTCCACTTATGTTTAGATTACCAAAATACAAGTTAATATGTCGTAAACAGGCTCTAAAAAACAGAGGAAGGTTTTTTTATTTTATGGGCTGCTGTCCTGATGTCAAAAGGGAACTGGGTCCACCATTGTGGAGCCAGGACAGCATAATAAATTTGAACATTTCACAATATGTTGGTTTTTGAAAATGCTGCACATATCACCTTTCACACCCAAATCTACACCCAAACTATCTTACCCTGGTTTAGCAGTAGTGCTGTGAAGAAAGACAGACAATGATTCATTGCAGTATATTGACACGATTTTCAGGGCCTAATACATTAGAGTGGCTTGAGAGAGTCTAAAATGCAACAGGGGAAAACAAAACACTTTGTTTCACAGTTTAGCATTCACAGTGCACCCTCACTGTGCCTGCATTTGCACTCATACTCTAATAAACTAATGTCACTGATTCCTTTGACCTCCACTAACAAGCACATATCCAGTTTCTGCACCACCCTAGTGATACAGTGACAGGGAACCGGCAACTAAAGGATAATACAATTGATAAGTTTATACTTCTTCCTACTCCTTTTTGCAAATGTAAATTGATGCAATTTGTAGATGGAACTTATTATGTCTTTTTTTCCTCTCGTTCTTTTTGTTATTGATATAATTTTAACTACTGCACTATGAAATATTTTTACTGTACATTTACAGTGAATTACTGGCTACTAGTTGCATGACTTTCACAGTAAATCACCGTTCAGTTTTACAGCAACTTGTTCTCTTGTATCTATATTTAACTGTAACCTCAAAGTTATAGCCCGTTACATAGCTGTCATAATAGTACATTTCGTAAAATTACTGTTTAACTGTAACTTCACAGTTTATGTACATTTGATTACTGTGATTTAGCAGTATGCTCCAATACAAATGACTGCATTTCACTGTAATTATACAGTTAAACTCTATATATTACTGTAATTTAGCAGTATGCTTCTGTAAACTGACTGTAAACTGACTCTACCTGCATGAATTTCACAATAAAATTCTGAATCTGATTAAATCTTATGAGAAGATAATAATGCAATTTATTATGAAATATTACAGTTAAATATTGTAACTTCCTGGAATTAATTTGCAGTGTGTTTTTGGCTGCAGCGCCTCCTCCTCCACAGTGAAACAGAGACAGCAGTGAATGGCAATGTGTAATCTTCAGTCATAGGCTGTAACACAGGTGCCCAGCATTCAGCCGCCTGTGTTGCTGCTGTTGTTGTTTTGATTCTAGATCTTGGATACTGCTGCCATCTACTATGTGTAAGCATACTATCCTATGCTAGCGTAAATGAGCAACTCTTCTCTGACCAACATCTATACAGCATTACTTCATTACTATAATCATGAAATCACAAGTCACTTAGACATTAATGATGACATTTAAAATGCACAGACACTTACCAGAAAGTCCTCGCTTCAGCCATTTTGGGTCCTCAAGCACAATGAAGAAGTTTTCCTGCTTCTCGTACTCTTCCACATTTATAATGTTCACCTTTAAGGTCTGACTGGAGATATGCAAGCATGTACACGTGCACACAGGCACACACACACAGGCGCACACACACACACACACACACACACACACACACACACACACACTCATTATTATATAGTATTACTTTTTTTATAACAAAGAAGTAAAGTACTAGGTACTAAAAACTGTAGACCAATAAGGTAAACACACTAAATACACAATACATCCACATCTTAAACATTTGCTCTACCATCTAAATCAAATCACATATTGAAGTGACCTAAATAATTAATCACTGTGGACCTCTAAATAATTCAGGCTTAAACAAAGTGTGCTCTTGCTCCTTAGTGTGCCAAAAAAATAGCGCTAAACTAAATGACCTGTAGACAACACCTGTGTTCAACAATGCCTCTTTAGTTAATTTGTGGAATATGTTGATGAATTCTTGACAACTTGGGAGGAGATCAAACATATAACAAGGTGTAATGGTTCCAGCAGAAAAAAAAAATGAAATGAAATGAGGCTACTTAACCTTACACCTAATTATAATTCCACTGACTATAATCTACATTGTTAGACCCTTTACTGTAGACCATCTATTTTTGGCCAAGTTACATAACAGAGTCTTTCACTAAGTGTACAATTAGCCCATGTACAAACACAGCTTATATACCTGAAAATTTAATGGGAAAAGGATCTGTCACTTTACATGGGGTGACTAGAGGTTCCTACACCTGATCAGGGATAGGATTATCCTCAGGTGTTAGGTCGTCAGGTAATTTAGTCTAATAGGACCTCCTCCATCTGGTAATCTTTCAGTGAGGGTCAGGTACCTCCGTCCAAAAAGCACTCATGAGCCAAAGTTATATAAATATAAAAGCATTGAGGGTGCTGTGTGTAAGTACTGCTGATTTCAAATAAAATAAAATCAGTCATTCATACAAGGTACACCTCCAGTGAAATGTGATCCCATCAGCCTCTTTAACTTGTGCACTGTAATTTAGTTTTTGTGTCTTCTTACATTGTTGGCTGGTGTTTTATAATTTTCTAAGTGGAGGTTTAGCTAGAATCCGTCAGGAGGAGAGTTTACAGACTGGTGAGTTGATTTCTAGATCTGGACTTGCAGCCACATGCCATTAACATCCAAAAAGGACAGCAGTCTTCTTGATCACTGTCTAATGTGTCTGTGGTAATCATGCCTAAGGTTCACAGACCATAAAACCATGTTTCAGTTTGTCTCCCAAGAAGTTGGCCAAATGAGAACATGGAGAAAAATACCTGTTCTGAACATAAGCTTTGTCACCCTCTATCTACCTACACTGAAGTTACAATTTAAGTAAAATTACATCTCAATTGAAAACCATTACTTTGTTAAAGGGTAAGTCTTGCTATATTCCATGTTTTTCTTAATATCAATAAAGGAAAATTAAAAGACCAAAACCATGAATAAACATGCAGTAAATTATTTTGAGTCAATGTTACAAAGACTGTCCTGCTGCCTGAAATACTTAATATATAACTTTGGCATTTGTCAACCTGGACCCTATTTCCCCATGTAAATTGGTCAAAGAGACTGATATGAACAACAATTTTTGAAATTGGTTCAAGAGCGAGCGAGTGGGCAGTTGTGGGACTGGCCTTAATGGAAGCACACAGGGCAACTGAACATTGTCACTATATGTCCATTGTTATTGTCAGTGTCTGAAGTGTCCCTTTACCTGTCACTTAATCCGGTCTGTTTGTTATTGAATCGTTAAGCAGAAGTTTCCTTATGAAATATCATAAGATGTCATGAGATGTCACTTGTGAGTTCTGGAGAAAGTATAATAACCAGAGTAGTTTATGTAGTTTAGTGTTATGTAAAAGATATATAGTATCATGGATGATTTCAGTGATGTGGATGAGGCTTTTGAAGTTTACTGCTGCCCCTATTTATGTGAGCCGAAGTATAGGGATAAAGAGTGGACAAGATGACAGAGGAAAAAAGGCAGCGGAAGGTGCCATAAAGAGGAGGCCATAAAGCTGGTGGTGTTCCTACGGGTGCTGTGACCCTGTGGGCTCACAGAGGAAAAATGCCTTTGTTGTAAAGGGTGGTTTGTGTTTGTGCATTTCCGACCAAGAGTGGATTTACATGCTGCAGATGAGTGGAGGTAGGCCAATGCTATTAGCTAAAGTTATTATGTTGAAATTGCATAACGTTACACATGCATGGCAGGATAACAGCAAAAACAATCAATCAATAAACAATTAGGAGGAGCAAAATATCAACTGATTCAGCCCTGATTATAACAAATCTCTATAGATTGATTACCACTTTCATCAGCTGACATTCATAATAAAAAAAAAGTGATATCAACAAGCTGATGCTATCTATGCCACAGTATGTGTGTGTGGTGGAAGAATATATTTATGCTTCACTAATATATGACCTATAATATATTTTTATAATATTTCATGCCTACATTTGCCCATACATCAAGTAGATACCTACTGGCTATGAATGATGATGGTATTATTAGTTATTGTACGCACTGCTATACATAGTCTTTTCTAATAAGATAATCATTTGTTATTCCCACAGAGACGAAATTTGCAGTGTTACAGCAGCAAAGGGGATAATGTAATAACAAGAAGCATCAGCAAGATGTAATGAATACATAAACAGTAAAATAAAAACCTGCACTGCCTTTTTTTTCTCTCTCCTTGTCCACTCTTCATGCGTATACTCCATCACAAATAAATGCCGGCAGTGATAGAATTCAAAGGCCTGAGCCACAGTGTTGAAATTAGGTAAATAATCATCCATGATATTGACTTTTTTTTTTTCATTTAACAAAACATTCAGAGCACACACGGACACGGCTTCAGATATGGATATAATAGGATCATCAGTTCTAGTGGTTATTGTCCTTGGGGTCCATTTGTAAAGGAAATCACCAGGCACCTTCTCTTTACAGTTTTTTACAGTTGTTTACGCACTAAAATGAAAATGTTCACACAATTTACAGCTCTTTACACTCAAGAAGCAAAACACCTGTCCATAGTTGCACAACAGTAAGCACAGACTCAGCTTCACACTTTTTGCAAAACATTACACACAGTGATTTGCAAAACTCTACACGCATTATCACACCTTAGACACATGAGAGGGGGAGCTCAAAGAGAAGAAGGAGGTAGAGGAAGAGGAGAAGAAGAAGGAGGTAGAGGAAGAGGCCTAGGTAGAGAGGGACCTGAAGAAGTTATAGAACCTGAACAAAGAAGACGAGGACCAAATTTAACTCAAGAAATCTGTGCAACACTTATTGACCACGCTATCAACCATGGACTGACACTGAGAGAAGCTGGACTAAGAGTCCAGCCAAATCTCAGCAGAAATACTGTAGCGACAGTAATTCGTACATTTCGTCGAGAAAACAGGTAAACTAACCGCACAGTACATTGAAACTGCAGCTTACTGTACTTGTCATCACTTTTGATATCCTTTCCTGTGACATGTGTTTTTGTCTACATAGGATTGAGGGTCGAGGACACCAAGGTGGAAGGCGCCCCATGTTCACTTGGGCACAAGAGACAGCCATTGTAAACATGGTTTTGGCCAACAATTGTATCAGGCTGAGAGAAATCCAAGCCAATGTCATCAATGATCACAATATTTTCAATAACATCCATGAAGTCTCTCTGTCAACATTGGGTCGAATCCTCAAATTAAATAAAGTACACATGAAGCAACTGTATCGAGTACCATTTGACAGAAATTCAGAGAGAGTGAAACGTCTGCGTAATGAGTATGTGGAGGTATGTATTGTTCACCTTACTATGGTGTGGTATTGTGCACTTCACACAACCTTTTTGCATGAAAAATTACTGTGCTAGATATTGAACGGCGTCCTATTGTCTTTTACTGTGTTTCAGAGAGTCTTGCAAATGGATGCTGACGAAATCCAACATGAATTTATATATGTTGATGAGGCTGGATTTAACCTTGCGAAAACTAGAAGAAGAGGGAGAAATGTAATTGGACACAGGGCAATTACCAATGTGCCAGGGCAGCGAGGGGGTAACATCACCCTTTGCGCTGCCATTACCCAAAATGGGGTCCTCCACCGCCATGCGAATCTGGGACCCTATAACACCAATCTAATACTTGCATTTCTTGATAGATTACACGACATCGTCACAGCATTAAACCAAGTGGACCACATGCAGTACATTGTCATTTGGGACAATGTATCTTTCCATCGATCTGCTCTGGTTCACAATTGGTTCCATGAGCACCCTGAATTTGCAGTCTTATACCTTCCACCATATTCCCCCTTCCTAAACCCAATAGAGGAGTTTTTTTTGCATGGCGGTGGAAGGTATACGACTTTCAGCCCTACAACCGTTTGCCCCTCATTCAGACCATGGAGCAGGCCTGTGATCTTATCGAAGCAGCTTCTGTGCAGGGGTGGATTCGTCACACAAGGCGATTCTTCCAACAGTGCCTTGCCAATGAAGACATAGCCTGTATTACATACAGTATTGTTGTTGTTGTTGTTGCTTTAGTTTTTCTTCAGAGTTGCTGTAAGTGTAGATACTTCATGCAGTAATTTTTATTTGTCTACAGATTTTTATTTGTCTACACTTTACAGTAGTAAGAAAAACTACTATTTTGTTCTGATTTTCATTGTTGATCTGTTACTGTAACTGAGTATGGTAAGAAATAAATATTTTCAGTCTGCAATCAGTGTTGTGTTTGTTTGTTGTATTTGTGTACTTTCTCTGTATACCTCAAAGTAATCATGAAGAATGTTGTGGGTTTGACAATATCTTTTTGTCATCTAAATTATCCCTTACATAAAAATGTCTGGCAAAAAAGTCTAGCACTAGACCAGCTATTTCCTAAGATAGGGGTTTTTACAAATGTATTTTGTATTGATCACTGTAGTGTGTAACTAACTGCAATAGTGTCTGATCATTTGAAGACTGTGTTAGTGAGATGAAAACAAAACAGCATTTTTATAAATTTGTGTATATGTTTTGACTGAAGTGTGTCATTTTGCCAACAATCTAGGAGTTATGCAAATTGAGTGTGGTGTTTGGATAATTGTGTGAATATTTTGAAAAAAGGAGCCCTGTTTTCAAAATTGCATGTAAACAATTGAGGAAAAACTATAAAAGCATACATTACAATTAAAGCCCAGGAGGAAACACTTTGCTTCTCAGAGAGAAGACTTAAGTCGCATTTGGGCAGCCAAAAAAACATTTTTTAAAACTAGGTAGTCGGAGGCCACCCAGCTTATAGTCCCATGTAAGCTTCTCCAAAGAAACCCTTGGAGTCTTACCATTCCATATGAACTATCTAATGTGTTTATTAAGAGTTTTTTTTAAAAAAAAAACAACAACTATGTGGTACTGGAATAGGTAAGAACTGGAAAAGATACTGTAGTCTTGGTAATATATTAATTTTAACACAATTTATTCTCCCGATCAGGGTAATGGGTAGATGTATCCATTTCTGCAGATCAGCTATTATTTCACTAACCAATGGGGAATAGCTGTGCTTATACACATTTTTGAGATTATTGTCTAATATGATTCCAAGGTATATTACTCAATTTGAGGACCATTTAAAGCAGTTCCTACCTTTCTTGCATTTCAAACAGCACTATGGCCTACTCCCCCCTCCTCTATTACGTCCTCATTACGTCTATGATAGACGTAGGCGTTGGAAAGGTAACTTTAGATACACGGAAGAGGAGAGCGAGTGTAACACGCCAAAAGAAGAGTAGAAGAGAAGAGGAGTAAAACACGCCGCTGATTGCTGAACGAAACTATGGCGTTGGACTCAGAGGCACCGGTAAGTGAAATTCTACTAAAAGATATTTAGTAAAATTCAATTCAATAACGTTAGGTGTTATAAAATGCTCTCATAACGTTCAGTTACTTTGGAAGTCTGATGGACTAACATTATCAATTTTAATGTAATTATCGTAAAGTTAGCAGTTAACGTTAGCTAATGTTATCCATTAGCAACTGGATGCTGTGTTGTCATATAACATTATAGCCTATGTTACATTGGAGGAAAACTAAAAACACCCGTCCAGCAGAAATCCTGCAATCATCTCATCCCTTTTTAGCTCAGGATGAAGCTGCATCAGTCTTCGCCATCACTCAAAAGCAGAGCTGATGTTGACCCGAGTTTTGGCTCTTGCAGCATCGAGTTCTCTCTTAGTGTTAGCTTTTTCTGCAATATTCTTCTTCTTTTGCCAACTGATATCCCTGTTGGAGCAGCTGGAGGTGGAAGTCGTGGTCCGCATTTTTCGGCCATTGTTAAGGAGAAAAGTTTATATCCACAAGCGTCCCTGTTACTAGCCTATTTGTTGTCTCACAGACTCACTGTTCCTGGTTGGAGGCGGGGGGAAATGTTATGCAAGCGGTTATGTCAGTCGGAGGCCTCCACATGGGGAAGACAGACAGGACGCTCGGCCAATGCAATGCAATGATTCTGACCAATCATCGCAATGATTGGTCAGAATTTTAAATGAGCTTCTTTGTTGATATTCAACATAATCAAACTTTTTCATAGTTGACTTTATATCCTGAGACAGACCCAAATGTATCTAGAAGTATTTGTAATTTACAAAGGGAATCAAATGGATTCGTCAAATAATGAATTATAACATCCACTAGAAGACTAGTTTTATGGATTGCTGGACCTACTTTAAAGCCCTTTATGTCTGCATCTTGCCTGATTACCTAAGCCAGAGGTTCAATGGCTAGGACAAAGAGCCCAGGAGATAGGGGCAACCCTGACTACCAGATCTACCAGATGACATCCATCTCATGCTCTATCCCTCCTAATGGAGGGATATCCGGTGGAAAACCTACTATCCTATTCTTCTCTAAATCTGAATATGTATTTCTCAAATATTCTTCAACCTCTAGCCTTTCTGCTTTGAGCTGCCCTCCCTTTTCCTGGCTAAACAATTCTTTAACAAACTTAAAAGGGTCCTTGAAAAAAACCTGTCCTTACATGTTCCTTCTTCCTTCTCTTTTTCCTGAGATGCTCTGCCCTTCTAAGAACTGCTAGCCTGCTTCTCAACTCCTCTTGCAACACATTAATTCCCTCCCTTTCTTCTTCTGTAGCCTTTTTCCACTGCTTTCTTAACTGTCTCCTTTCCTTAACTAACTTCTCTATTTCTCTTTGCTGCCTAGACTTACTTGACTGTACCCTCTCACCCCTCTTTTTCTCATGCACCCCAAACCTCTCTGCACCATATGAAGTAAATTATATCTCCCATCTTTTCTAACTTTTCTACTGCATTTCTTCTAAGCCTGCTTAAGATTACTGACAAATCTCTATTAACTATCTCCCATTCTCTACTGTCATTTGCCCTAGGCCATCTAACTCTAACCTTTTGCTCCATGGTTCTCTCTCTGACTGGCATACTGACCTCAGTGTCATCTCCATCCTGTCTTACTAGCCCCTCCTCCTCCTCCTCCTCCTCCTCCTCCTCCTCAGGGGCAGTGTTACTGATGTCCTGTGAACAGTGGTTTTCTACCTGCCGCTGGACTTCATCCGACTGACTCGACTGACTTCTTAGGAAGTACTGATCAATGCGGCTACTCTTCCCTTTCTTTGACACACACTTCTTCTTTCCCTGATGAGTTCTGAGGCCTTTTATTGATGTTACTGCCAGCCGCAAGTACAAACCTGAAGCATCTTGTTCTCGACTGTGCTACTTTTGTCCTCTATAGGTGCGCTCGCCTTGCCCTGAGTGTTGCTAATTCTAGTCCTGGTGGATAGGTCCATGCCCCTATCCTTCACTGAGTCATAGATCCAATACATAGATGTGTCTGTTCCAATGTCTGTTACCGTGTAATCCACCTGTAATCCCCAGCTCTCGCTGACTCTTGAGGTATTTTCCCTATGTTGGCTGTAGCTAATTTTGGTTGTAGTAAGGCTGCTAGGCCTCACTACACTGCTACCACTGCTACCATGGGTTGCTAGTCCATGCCAGCACCTTTGGGGTCTTTTCCCTCCTGTCAGCTGTCTTTCCAAGCGGTCACATGGTCTTTCCCTTGTTGACAGCTGCCCTATTCACAGCAGTCACTAGCTGGGCTAGTTCTGAATTCAAATAAACACAAGAAGTTTCTGCTCCAGAGAAAGGATCAGCACTCAGTGAATAACCTCCTAAACCCTATGATAAGCTATTATGGCAAGGCTTAACTATACAGACCAGTGAGCAGTGATAACTAACATGTCTTTGGGGTCATCAGGTGGGAACCTCCTTTCCCCAGTGTTTTATCTAGTTGGTCCCACGACACCTCCAGGAGGCTAGACAGTGATCTCTGGCGTCCCAGAGACACTCCCCTAATGCCAGGTCTCACTGCTCCCCACACCAACCCAATAACCTCCTTTACCTTACTTACACATGGCTTTCTCAGCCCAAACAGCACTGCCACCTTCAACAAACCCAGGCTCCATTCATGCGAGCTCCAGTGCCGATACTACCTTTCCTAGCACATTCACCATACTCTATTTCACACGCTACATAGCATAACTCCAATATAAGCTAAAGTTAAAGGAGATAGAGAAGATAAACTCACAGGATCAGCAAACACTCTCCACTTGATCTCAAGGAGTTATGTACCCTGCTTAGTAGTTCCCCCTGCTGGCCCCCAACTGATGTTATTCTTCTTCATCCAAATCCACTGACTAGCTCTGGCTGCTTCATCTGACATTTCCTTCACTGTCTTCCTCAAACTCTGTCCCTGCACTCCGAGTTCCCCCAGGAGTGAGACAGCTGATCTTGCTATGAATCCCCTACACCCCACTTCCACTGGACAAATCCTAGATTTCCATCCTCGCTGCTCAGCTTCTGCTTCTAAGTCTGCATACCTAAGCTTTTTTCTTTCATAGGCTTCTTCCACTGAGTCATCCCAAGGAACTGTCAGCTCAATGAAATAAACTATCCGTTGACTTACTGACCACAACACTATGTCAGGCCTCTGCTTGGTACAAACTATTTCCTGGGGAACAACAAGCTTTCCCCCTAAATCTATTTGCATTTCCCAATCACAAGCACCTACTAGGCGGCCACACCCTTGCCTCTTTACTAACTTATCCCTTCTGTATTTCTCCCCCTCATGGACAAACTAAATTGCTAAACTCCTATTCTTAAAACCTTCTGAATTTGCCTGTCTTCGTTTCCCTTCGATGCCTGCAGCTAAACTTTTCAACACCTGGTTATGTCGCCATGTATATTGGCCTTGTGACAAGCTTACTTTACAGCCTGACAAAATATGCTTTAAGGTTGCGGTACCTGAACACAATGGGCATGATGGGTCCCCATTTACCCACAGTTTTAGGTTCTGGGGGGTTGGTAAGTATGTTAACACTCTTTTCTTTTAATTGGTCCATTTAGACATTAAAGCTGACAAATTTCACTACCTTGTCTATGTAAGATATAAACAAATATATAGCCAGTTAACCATATAGTCTCCTTGAAATAAATTTACAAAGATATAATGCCTCTCTTTTAATATAATCCAAACTCAAAACACATATGTTCAGACTTGCCCATTCCATCTGATCAAATGTTCTTACACTGTCTTACTGTCTTCCCCTCTATTTTAATGTATTTGTATGATGTTTTGTATGCTGTGTTTCTTGTTTGATGTATGCTTTTTTTATCTTTGCTGTAAGGCAACCTTGAGTACCTTGAAAGGCGCCCTAACAAATAAAATGTATTATTATTATTATTATTATTATATAACACAACACAAAGGAAATCCCAAAGAAATAAAACCTCCCCATTCTCTTAAGTGCCAACCCCCTGAACAAACGGCACCATCAAAAATCACTAAACGGGATATACGTTTGACACTTTTCAGATCTAACACACTCAGCTAATTCCCTGCCAAGCCTGGAGTCGTTTTGTTTGCTTTAACACTTGAAATCACTCGGTATGTGATCAACATATCACTGAAACACAAACACACCGTCTTAAATAATAAAAGTGAGCCCAGGATCATTTTTTAAGTGCAGCCACACTAAATTAAGTTTACCTTTACTGTCAATAACAGTCAAACAAGCAAAGTGGATGGCGCTGCACTTACAGAAGAATTGGTAAACAACTTATGGAGAAGATCAAAGAGGATGTGTAGCTATTCTCTATACGGCCGGAGAAACTACAGTACAGGCTTGGATCAGTGTCAGTTAGTGGTCCCTCCTGGAAGATCTCGGAGAAAAGAAGCCGTATCCTCAGGAGTTTTAAAGAATTTCTTCTCTCCATAGGTAAGATGACTCCCAATATCGCAGGGTGGAGGAGGCTGAATGGTAGTTTCCTTGCCTGTAACTCCTTTTTAACATGGCTGTATTCCTTCATGCACTTCACCAAAGTTGCACTCAGGTGCACCATTAAACTGGCTTTTGATACTGTTGATCACATACTGCTTCTGGATAAATTGGCCTTGCTGGGTTTTGATGAAGCATCCTTTAAATGGTTTCAGGATTACCTCACTGATAGAACCCAGTGTATAAATGCTGCAGGAGTGTATTCCCAGCAAGCAATAGTCGTCATTTCAACATATTGGCTATATTTAGCTCCGATTAGTCTAGCTACATGTAACCCAAATCTAGCCGATTTAATTTTGAAATTGATTAAATGTAATTTCTGCATTGCAGATGGCGTGCGGTATGATATTCAATCACGTATGGAGAGTCAAAAGTAATTAAAATATGTTTATCTCCATTTTTTGGACATGGTCTCTACATAGTTGTATAATTAATGACGTCTACACTTTGGCTATGGTCAGATGTCTACCGAATTTTCACTGACAGCCCAAATTCAGCTGTAATTTAGCCTAGACGTCAGGTCTTCATGTAGACGGCTATTAGACGTTTTCTAAACCAAAAAATGCTTGCTGGGTTCAGAGTTCTTAAGATTAAAAAATGGTGTGCCACAAGGGTCAACTTTAGGCCCATTGTTGTTCACTTTGTATAAATGATATCTGTGCCTCTGCAGAAAACTGTCTGCATTTTTATGCAGACGACACAATTCTTTATGCTTGTGCACCATCAATAGAGGAAGCTGTATCAAACCTTCAGTGTGCATTTGACTACTTGCAGAAATCCTTAAAAAATCTTAGACTGATTTCAAATGAAACCAAAACGAAATTCATGTTATTCACAAGGTCAAGGAAGTGTGATCTTGACACCTTTTCCATCCGTTCCCTTAATGGCACCCACATTGAACGTGTAACAGATTACAAATACCTTGGCATCTGGGCAGATGACAAGCTTTCATTTAAAACACATGGCTGAGTTCACAAAGAAAGTGAGAATTAAATTGGGTGCATTGTACAGACTGAGGTCATGTTTGTCTTTAGAGAAGAGAAGGATAATTATTCAATCAACTATCATGTCAGTCTTAGATTATGGTTATATTTTGTATATGCATGCAGCTCAATCCACACTAAAATCACTTGATAAAGTCTACCACAGTTCTCTCCATTTTATTACTGGGGATGGTTTTAGAACTCACCACTGTGAGCTGTATCAAAATGTGGGATGGTCGTCTCTCATTGATAGAAGAGTAAAACATTGTCTCCTTTTTGTTTATAAGGCATTGTTTGGAAAGCTACCTTCTACCTCACTTCTCTTTTAAAAATCAAATCCATCTCTCATCACACATGCTCACTGGAATTTTTATCCCTTGAAACCCCTCAGATCAGTAAAGAGCTTGGTAAATTAGCTTTAAGCTTTTTCGCCCCATGTAAATCAAACAGGTTACAAGAGGTATTTAAATTAGACAGGTGTGTATCAGTAGATCATTTCATGTATATGCTAGATGATATGGTTGCTTTACAGTGTTGCTGCTTTGGTTAATTGACAGACATGATTTTCTACCTATTGCTGTTTTTTTAATTGTTGCTGTTGCTGTTATGTATCTGTCCTTTATGGCATACTCCATTCTTAATTATTTAACTTTTTCGTCTTTTTACTGTTTTTATTGCTGTTTATAATACTTGATAGACATTGGTGCTGCTTATTTTGTTTTTATGGACTTTTTCATGACTTTATTGCAATTATATATTTATGTTCTTCTAACCCATTGAATGTTAACTCAGGGCATTGCTGTAAAAGAGCTTAATGCTCAGTCAATTTCCCCTGAATAAACAATGGTTGAGGTCAAGAAAAAACAGCACTGCATTCCCATTGTACATCATAGGTCCCTCTTTCTCTCTGGACAGCAGGGGAGGCACGTAGGATTTTATTATTTTTCTTCTGCCTCAGTGATACGAGAGCACATCCCATCTATCACAGTTTTCATCTCCAAAATAGACTGGTTGATTTCAGCGGTCCACTTGGTCAATACTAGGCCAGTTTCAAAGATTGTTGTTCATGTCAATCTCTTTGACCAATTAACATGGGGAAATAGGGTCCAGGTGGAAAAATGCATAAGTTATCCTTTTATAGTGTAAAAAAATCCAGGACTTTAAAAAGTCTTCAACAAAAGTCATTTTTAGGGCTGTACTGAACTCAGAGTTATGTCAGTGGAATTGGATTTGGCTGTTCAATAAGAATATTCGACTATTCGTACCTTTTTCCATACAGATTTTGAGAGTTTGAACAGGGTTCAGCAGGATGTTCAGGGTAAATTTCAACCAGGCAAAGCCTTACTTCCTCTGGCCAGCTGCCTCAGACTTACCCTGGGTCTGAGTCTTCAGCTGCCTGTTCTGAGAGCAGCATGAAAGCAAAGAGCACTCACTCTGCAGCAAAATCTGGGGACCAGACTGTCCCAGAAGTACACTGCCCACTGACTGACAAAACCCCTCAAAATAAAACAAAACAGAACAAGAAAAAAAAAACCTCAACTGCTTGATGTGAAGATTTTCTGCCGATTTCAGGGTATCCAACTTATGATTCTTTGTTTGTTTTTTGTTGACAGAAAATATAGAATATTGCCAACCTTATTTTTAAAAAATATATATTTGGTTAAGGGTTCTTAATAATGTAAAATCTTTGTTTTAATGTATAGTGTGTTAAAGAGCGGGAAGATGCAACCTCAAGAGTCACAATGTCTGGCACCACATTGTTCCTGGAAAAGAATAGATTGATGTTCTAAGGAAATACAGCCATTAGACTCTGTGGCTCTTACAGTATGACTGAGGTTGCTGACTGTGCCTCACCTTGTCTGTTCATTGGTGAATTCCAGCTCGCCTCTGGCCTCCTCATAGTCCACCCCAGCCTTGGCACTGCCATCTTCTGTATGGTACGGCACAGCAACAGTGCCCCTGGAGCCCGAGTTCCTCACCACTGTCACTGTCAGCATACCTGTGCTCTCACTCACCTGCAGCACACGCTGGCCAAAGGTGAAGATGCCAGCATGGTCATCGTCCAATATAGTGATGGTGGCAACCAGTGGCTCCACTAGTCTACCCTTTGGTGGAGTTCCTGTCCCTTCATTTCCACCTTCTTCTAACCTAATATTCTGAAGACGCACAAAGAAATGCTCATCCTCCTCAAAGATGTCATCATCCAAGATGCCCACCTGGTGAGCACAAAATGTTAGATGGTCACTCTCAACATGAATGCATAAGGCCATGACAGTTTTAATGCAGACATCTGAAACACATCACAACACAACTTTCAAAGTTACTGTTTCAGGTCTCACTGTTATCAAACTCTCAATTTTTAGTAGAGAGATTGCTATTGTTTCAGAGTTGGAAATATATTATGAGAGGCCCTTTGAGACATAATTCATACTTGGTTTCACATGTAACATCATACTCACCACTATACTCTCACACAAACACTACTATACCCTCTTACATGCACAATCATACTCTCATACATACACCACTATACTCTAACACAAACACTACTATTCCCTCTTACATGCACAATCATACTTTCATACATACACCAATGTGAGAGAGTGTAGTAGGCCTACTGTGTGTGAGAGTATAGTACTATATGTGAGAGAGTATAGTGATGTGTGTGAGAGAGTATAATTAAACAGGAAGTTAGTTTGATCAAACAGGAAGACAGTTTAAATCCTCATTCCCTGATTGTCTTATAGCCCTAAAAATAAAGGCTGTACCTTCTCAGAGCACTGCTAGCTAAATTGACGCTACGTGGGAGCATTCAAATCAAGCTGCAGCACCCTTCTTTTTCAAAGTCATTTTTTGTTTGTGGAAGTAAATGGTAATGAGGAGAACATTACTATTTTTTCACTATTACAATGAGGTGTGTTCAGGACATTGTAAGGGAAACTGACAGCGTGGGACATGACAGCATGATTTTGGAAAGATTATTCTGTGAGCTTAATGGATATGCACTGACAATTTCTTTCTTTCTGTCAAATAACCAGCAGCTAGAAGGGGGTGACAGTCAAGGAAGCTTAGGTGCACTGGAGGCACTGTAGGCCTATACACAGAGCTAAGAAATATACACACATCACCCCAGTTCTTCAGTCCTTACACAGGCTCCCATTGAAGGCCAGAATTGAATTTAAAATTCTTCTTATTGCCTATAAGGCACTGAATGGCCTTGCCCCAAAATATATTAAAGAATTACTTGTGCCATATGAGCCAATGAGAACTCTCAGGTCATCAGCTAATGGTCTCCTCGTTGTTCCCCGTGCGCGCACTAAAGCTGGAGAGGCAGCATTTGCTCCTAGCAGATGGAATGTCCTTCCTAGCAATGTCAGAAATGTGCCAACACTGAGCTCTTTTTAAAGTAAACTCAAGACATTTCTTTTTACCACTGCTTTTAACTAGCCTATTAATTGGCATTGTTTTTATTTGTCACTAAATACTAGAATCACTATGCACTAAATAAGATGCATCCATGTATGCTTGCATACATTCATGTTCTTGTTTGTTGTCTGTCTGCGTGCTTGTAAATATGTGCTCATATTTTATGTTTTTATACATGTCTTCTGTGAAGCACATTGTGTTGCTTTCTGTATGAAATGTGCTTTATAAATAAATTTTCTTCTTCTTCTTGTTCTTCTACATGTTTTTGTGCCATTATAAATTCTTATGAAAATTCAAGATCAGTGGAAATGAGACAAAGGGATATGTTTATTTCAAGAGGATTGCCAACAATCAGAACTGGTCATCCTGGTCGCCCTCTTTAGGGTGACCAGACATCCCGCATTGCACGGGACTGCACAGCATTTCTGTCTCTTTTCACGGCCTGGACACACCGGACACAGAACCGAAGTGCAGCGCCCAGCAGCAGAGGCAGTTTCCAATCGGCGCCCTTGACTGTCCACACACTGAATGAATAGGGCATATTGTTCTGACCATTTTATTTATGTAGTTATGTCTGTAGGCTCGATGACACAAAATTCAAATTGTAATGAAGTGATTAGGGTATTGAAAATGTGTTCGGGTATGCATTGTTGTGTTATTTTAAATTATAACCACGGTATTTTCTCCTCACGTTCCACAGTGCATGCTGTTATTTTATTGATTGGGAAGGCGGGCCAAGTCCGTGCAATCCCGCTTCTTCTCGCTTCATCAAAAATAACCAATCAGGAACTGAGAATTCAGTACTATTTCCGTTTCAATCAAACTCTCTCACACAAACAACTATTCTCATTCACATACTCTATCATTCTGTCTTACATTCACTGTCATTTTTTTCCTTACACATGATTATTTGCATTCACATGTACAACTAATTCTTCTTACATATGCTATTATTGTGTTTCAAATATAATATTATTCTCTCATACATATATTAGAACTTTGTTTTACATATACTGTTACTTTCATGTACATACTACTTACATACATATAATATTATCCTCTGTTACACTAAGACTATGACAGTAAATAAAAGAAAACATGATGATAAATATAAGAGAGTATAGTGGTGTATGTATGAGGGTATAGTAGTGTTTGTGTGAGAGTATAGTGGTGTATGTATGAGAGTATGATTGTGCATGTAAGAGAGTATAGTAGTGTTTGTGTGAGAGTATAGTGGTGTATGTATGAGAGTATGATTGTGCATGTAAGAGAGTATAGTAGTGTTTGTGTGAGAGTATAGTGGTGTATGTATGAGAGTATGATTGTGCATGTAAGAGAGTATAGTAGTGTTTGTGTGAGAGTATAGTGGTGTATGTATGAGAGTATGATTGTGCATGTAAGAGAGTATAGTAGTGTTTGTGTGAGAGTATAGTGGTGTATGTATGAGAGTATGATTGTGCATGTAAGAGAGTATAGTAGTGTTTGTGTGAGAGTATAGTGGTGTATGTATGAGAGTATGATTGTGCATGTAAGAGAGTATAGTAGTGTTTGTGTGAGAGTATAGTGGTGTATGTATGAGAGTATGATTGTGCATGTAAGAGGGTATAGTAGTGTTTGTGTGAGAGTATAGTGGTGTATGTATGAGAGTATGATTGTGCATGTAAGAGAGTATAGTAGTGTTTGTGTGAGAGTATAGTGGTGTATGTATGAGAGTATGATTGTGCACGTAAGAGGGTATAGTAGTGTTTGTCTAAGAGTATAGTGGTGTATGTATGAGAGTATGATGTTACTTGTGAAACCAAGTATGAAATATGTCTCAGAGGGCCTCTCATAATATATAGCTACCTTTCACAGTCCCCCTTTCCACTTGCTTACCTTGATCTCTTTGTGGCTCTCCCCTGGTAAAAACACCAGGGTTCCCTGACTGAATTCATAGTCTGCCCCAGCATTGGCGGAGCCATTTTCTGTACAGTAGTCCACATAAAAAGTGTTCTGGCCTGTGCCACCCTCAAGAATCACCCCAATGCTCAGAGAGCCACAGTTCTCTGTACACTGGTATTGGGCATTTTCAAAACAAATGTGCGAGCATGTGGACTTGTCAGTGTCCTGGCCTGCTGAGCGACGTGAGTGCTCAGCAGCATGTTTCTTTAATATGTTGCCAGCACCAATCATCATGCGTGTTGCCTGGACACGGTAGAAGGCACGGCTCTTCTTCTGGTGGACCAGGGCAGAGTAGTTGGCCATCTCAATGAGCTGGTCCAGGTCTTTGTCTGGGTGTTTCTCCTTCAGGTCTTTCAGTATGCGGACCACCTGTCCAAGAGAGGAAACCGGTTGTAAAGAAACAAAGTGTATTCATAAAGGTGTATGCTCTGCAAAATGTTATGTACAAAGTGCTACTGAAAACACAAACTGCTCCAGTGCATGTTCAGCAATGCCCCAGTTTGAAGTAGTGACTACGCAGGCTGGGTGTGGAGTGGGGTCCTGCAGAGGGTTTGTTGGGTTTAACATCAGAATGGGAAGACATGGCTTATTTAATAATGGTATTTCTTGGGACAAAACTTTTATGAAGTGTGACTTGTAAACTAATGCAGGGCTCTGTGTCGAGAAAGACTTTGGAAACTCCTGCTGCCCAGCCTCCTGGTGATCAACTTCCTGCTGTTAAGACTGCTGTCTGCACTCATGCCATATAGACTGCTGCTGGGATTTAATCCTACTGGGCCCAGGAAACTTGATATTTCCCCTACATTCCAATGAAGTAGCTTATGTTAGAAAATCATGATACACCAGTGGGCCTCATGGGGTAGTAGCTCTCTTCCTTTCCTCCTGCCTTTTAAAGAATACTAAAAACCTATACTTTCCTCTTTAAGAAAATACATACCAAAATTTGAGTGAAGAATTCTGTAATTTAAGGAGCTCTAATTACTTAATACAAAACATATGCCAAACCTGACATGATTTCACACCATTCAATCTTCAGTCTTGCATATGTAGTATTCCTCCCTGAGCCACTTGTCTTACCTCATCTTTGTTCTGGTCTAGTTCATTGCCTGTCTGCACAGAGACTGTCACACTGGAGGAGTTTCCAGGACACGAACTGCCGTCTGACAACTTTCCATCCATGATCACGTCAATGCCTTTGGGTGCAAGGTCTCCTTCCATTTGCACCACAATGCCGTGCCTCTTGTCAGCACGGTAACGCTTGTGCATGTATTTGTAGAAGAGCAGGCGACGGTCAGCAATCCAAGCCAAGATCACACACACCGGAAAATAAAGCAGTGTCACTACGGCCTCCCACACCTGGTAATACAGGCAATATGAGCATTACATGATTTACTCACTTGAATTACTAGAAATACCGGTATATTTACATACAGTCACAATCAGAAACACACCTCTACAATTCCAGGTGAGATGACAGCCAGTATGAGGTAGAGCCAAATGTAGGCAAAAATACTCCAAAAAGCCGTAACAAAAAAAACTCGCAGGTGTTTGATCTTGCGAGACTCTCCATTAGGGATCACCCCCACACACAGACCAATTATCACTAACATATTGAAGGCAGCACTGCCCACTATGGTGCCTGGGCCGAGCTCCCCTGCATCAAAGTTGTGCCCAACCACCTGTCAACATTTAAGGGACAAAGAAGACAAACGTAATATCAGAGACTTTCTAAAATGCTAACTGGGACTGAACTTGAGATCCATGTAACGACCATAGAAAAGGTCTGCTTTGGAGAGGGATCAACTCAAATATTAAATATATATGAATATATAACAAGTATGAGAAAACTAGAACCACAATAGATATTATTCATTTATAGGCATGAATACATCAGTGTATAAATATGAGGTGAGTTTTGCTCACAGTGGTGGTTGCACTGCCTTACAATTAACATCAAGTGTTTCCCAGAGTTTCAACATATTTTAATTACTTTACAGTATTAAAACCTGTATTTTTTATTAGTCCATTTGTAGATGTAACATACACAGCTGCAAGTGATAGATCATGTCATGTTGGCTTTTTAATAATGTAAAATTTTAGAGGATCACAGGCTTTTGTCAAAGTTATGTAAACAGCACATTCACAGTGGTAGACAACATTTTTTGGCACGAAAGTATATGTTAGAAGGACGTGAAATGCCTTGTATACCTCAATAACAGAGAGCAGGATCTCTGGTGCAGAGGAGCCCAGGGCCATGAGTGTGAGGTTGGACACAGTCTCATTCCAGATTCTTACTGTGGTTACTGTTGTTTCACCATTTGGTTTGGTGATGGTCACCTCTTTCTCCTGTGAGAAAATGTCAAAGATGCTGTTACCACTGAACTCATACCATTGCAATCAGTGTCACAATAGGATAACATTCAAAATGTAACAAATACATTTCATTTAATACCGTTATGTTTTTATAGTAAACATCTTGATATTTATTCTTTTGCTATCTCTGTTTTCTGTACTATTGCTGTCCTCGTGCTGCTGTAACTACTGCATTCCCCTCTGCGGATCAACAAAGGTATATTGTATCGTACCATACCGTATCATATTGAACCGTATCGTATCTGATTTTCAGGTCCAAACGGAACCTGATATTTTTAAGTGTTTTCAGCTGTGATCCAAAATGATCTGTGGGAAGTTTTTTTTTTTTTTCTCGTAATGTCATAGACAATATTAATTTATGATAACAACTGCTTTTGAACAACTTCACACAGTACATTAACACCTAAAAATATCTCAAGCAGGCTAAAAGAACTACTTAGTATATTTTAGTAAAAACTTTGAATCAGAAATTTTATTTGAGTATTTATGAATACTTAAATAACTCAACAAAATGTGGGACATGTGGCCATTAAAATGGAACGTTCAATATGGAGCAGAGAGAACAAAAATTAATCAGTCAATCTATTAATAATCCATAAACAGTAAGTCTTAATTTTCCATATTTCTTCTAACCACACCATTAACTTTGATTTTAATGCCAACTGAATACAACACACGATGCACAAGGAGGTTGAGGAGACAGTGACAACATTCTGAGTTTTACAAGCATCATCTATATTCCTAAAATCTGCAGAAAATCTACAGCGTTCTGCAGGCGCAGAGTCTGTATGGGCCTACATGTTAAATCACACTATCACAGCATCAATTTTCTTGCCCTACTTGCCCAGTGTTATTCAAACATATGAGATTTAAACTCTATTCAAACATGATTCCAGCTAGCTGGTGTTGTTTATTGAATAGCGATGATGTGAAGATGATGAAGGACACTCCGCTGACACCGTCTTGCTTGTATATAGAAAGGTTTATTACAAGAAGTACAGCATCAAATCAAGCGCCTAGGAAGCCTGAGAGAGAGTTTGAAGCCAATATGAACTGCTCTGAATAACGGCTCAATTTACCCTGCATATACAGGTTGGTTGTTTTGATGAACTTTGAAACAAAATGTGACAAGTGACAGAGAGACAATCTAGATGGAATCCAACCTTTCATCTTACTTATCTATCCTTGACCTAAGCCATGATAAAATCTTGACCTGGGCCCCTAACTAATCATATAAGACCCTGGTCGTCACATAACGTGGCACGTCAGATACTACACTGGCATACATGGAGGGAGAGATGGAACGCAGGTTGAAAATGAAGATACTTACATAATGGTAAATAAAACATCACATATCTACACATAATAGAGCTACATTTTCTGTGCCAACGTAACAGCCACAGAAAATAAATTTGCCATTATACCTGGAGGTTATCCATGGGAGATTGCTGTAACAATTTCATTACACTCAACAAAATTCCATAACTTTCCCAAAACTTTAGACTAATGTCTTTTTTCAGGCCTGGAAAATTAGATTGTGGAATTCCATTATCTTGCAAGGTTTTCCATGACTGTGGGAACCCTGTGTTGTATCCTATCGCATTGCATCACATCATATCGTATCATATCACTTTTAATCACAATATAAAAATTTAACTAGTTTTAACCTAGAGTATTTGATATGGACAACCTATTGGCTGCATTCAAAAGAGCATGCAACATGTGGAGAGTTATTGCAGGGAATGATATTTCTAAAGGAACACGGAGGATATTAGACCAATTCTGGACAGTCTAATCAGATTTTTCTTCTAAGGCTTGAACAGAGAGAAACAAAACTAAGTAAGGACTTTAATTTTAACCCTTAGCTGTTCCAAATTATATTACATAAATATATATTATTTGGATTACTTGCTATGGCATTGACATAATGTTATGCAATGTAAACCACCCTTTATGAGAAATGGCTGAAACATTCCTGCTATGTTCTTACAGAGACTTACTTATTTGGTTTGCATTCTTATTTTCTCAATTACTTTGGAAATGTATGTGCTTTTAATCTTACACTATTTCACTTCAATTTTCAATTACCAGCATACCCCAAATATATTGGCTATGGAGTATATAGCTGACTATGATTTTTGTTTGAAAATATCAGTCTTAAAGCAACACAATAGACTTTTTCATTGCTCAAAATATATATATCCAAGATCCTTGTGATGCTACATCAACTCACAACAGGTTGGATGACACCTCTGTCGTTGCTTGAGAGCATCTGTTTCACTTGCACTGGCACTATGCAGTTTCGGGGTTCGGGTAGGAACCTGGACACAAAAATGACTACAAAATTTGGCTGCTTTATGGCATACGTCATATCCCCCTCCTCGCCATATCCCCCTCCTCTCTTTAGAGTAGCGTAGCCAAACCGAGGTGAACGAAGTTAGACGTGGTTGTCATGGCTGAAGCGACAAAGAAAAGGAAGAAGGTGAAGGTGTTGTCCGAGGAGACAAAGAAAAGAAAAGGGGAGAGCGATAAAACAACAGCTCGAACAAGGATTAATATTGGCCCAGCTTTCACACGCTGGCGAGAGCTGAAAGAGGAGGGATGCCCAACCGATGGTGACCTGGCGCTGTTATTGCTGTTACCCTCTACTGAGGAGACTCACTGTCTGCAGGTCGGCTGCCTCAGGTACATTTTAAGATAAAGTGTTAGCCTACATACAGACAGCTTTCATTTTAGTTTGTCTTTAACAGTTTGCTGCTAGTACCACGAGCACGATGTGCTTGTGTCGACAGCGATCGTAAATTATAATAGCGGTAAGAGAGACTGCGGACAGAGCAGACTGAAATATGGCTTTCTACATGCTGATCACATGTATTGATAAAGTATTGGCTTGGCTGGCAGAGGTTTTATCGCACTTACTTAGAGTAACAGGCGTAGTTGTCGTCAACTAGAGTAATCTTGAAGTTATATTCCCTTCATCTGCACCGCAGCCTCTCTGCTGTTGTCTGACTTCACTCTGTTGAGTTTGTGTGTGTGCGCACGCACGCTGTGAGGAGGAGGTCAGCCCTGAGATGCAGAGAGCAACTCATTTCTGAGTTTCGAAAGTGAATAAATAAATAAAGCAATCGGCCTAATCATCTATGTACAAAATGCTACAAGGCTACTTTACCTTTTCTGAAGACATGATGATCGTGCATTACACGGCCAACTTCAGGAAGTTCACCAGTATCGTTGGCTTGTCAACAAATGCACATGCAGAAAGATTTTTTGCGACAGTTGTAACAGACAATACCATCTTTTCGTCTGTAGGGGGACCCCGTGAGGTAAAAAGCACAATCCTCCATTGTGTTGCTTTAAAGCTAGCATGTTACTCTTGCTGACCAAGATGTTTTTTAGAAACTGTTCTTGTGTTTTCCTATGAAAAGTAACGCAACCAAATTTGTACACATACTACGTGTGATTACTTGATTAATGTGCTGATGGGATTAGACAAGGAAGGGGTCCTGAGCGGTCTTGTAAGGAGGAAAGTTGGGGTGGTGAATGGGTCACAGAAACACAGACTTTCCCCCAGGACTTTCCCCTGGAGATGGAGTTTGGAATCGTGTGAGCTTTGAGTGAAATTTCAGTAATTTTAAGGTACATCCTCACCATGTATTTTTCCTAAACCTAACCACAGTAACTTAACTTGCCTTAACCTAAGCTCCTTAACTTTTCGTTAATTATGTAACTGTAGCTTAATGACATAACATAATTCACGGGGCAATAATCTGCAAGATATCATACAAACTGTTGTGTCTGCATTTTTGTAGGGTATCATACAAACCATCTTATGACGAAACATTGTGCTGACGAGGGGACATAGTGGGATAATAGCACGCTTAATTTCCCAAGACCCCTTTGGTCAGTCACAATTTGAGACAGTAGAATGGGACTAAATAACTGTTGATCACTGACAAAGTAAAAATGCAGCTACAAAGTTGTGTTTTAAATTAAGGGTGGCTGCATTTTAGTTCTTACAAATGTGAAGTTCAATAATACCTGAGATGTGATGACTTCTATGGATGCCATGAAGCGATCAGCGATGATGGATACACCCAGGAAGATGTACATGAGACAGAGGAAATAGACAACAGCCCTCCCCGCCTGCTCCCCTACTGGAGGGTTGAGTGGCAACCACACCGGCAGCAGGACACCGGGTTTACACACCACAACGCCCGAACATGTCCGCTTGCCTGACCCCGTAGCATTACCAGAGGACTGAGGCTGCTCCGGGGCAGATGCTCTCTCCACAACCTGGGGCCTGATGGAGTTGCATGGGTGGGCCAGGAAAAGGAAGGAGAGGAAGAGGAGTGGGGATAAGTGTCCCATGATATCCCTGAGTAAGGAGGGGCTTGGGGGTCACTGAGAGAGATGCTGGGTCAGAGGACTCTCCTGGGGGAACAGAGTAAGGCAGACTGTTTTAAGAAAGAGATACAATGGGGTGCAACAGATACACAGTGTGTTTGTTTAACTTGTTTCTATCTAAAGATTCATTTCATTTTATACAGGGATAGGGGTCTAAAAAAGGAAAGAAAAAAGCACAAAGAATGAACAAAATCTTTACAGTACAATCAGCTGATCATTTCTGATACTAGTGCAAAACAACACGAGTCGTACTTCACTGTCAAGACCAGTAATGATGAAGTTGTTACGATGTGTTGGAGTTTAGGTTTTATGTGATTTGGATGTCAGTGTCTGTGTGTCTTGTCTGTTGTTACACCACTTTGGCCAAGACTTAAAAATCTCTGCAACTATTGGATAGGTTTACATGAAATTCGTTCAAGCATTCATGTTCCCTTCAGGACGATTTGTCATCACTTTGGTGATTTATCTAACTTTTACTTTGTCCAGTACTTTGGTTTATGTCAATATGTAAATATTTGCAAAACTAAAGACATCACTGAGGGCCTGAGCTGGGTGCTGCATACTGACTCAGAGGTGAGAAAGGCAAGGCAGAGACTGTTTCACCTGAGATGCTTCAGGAAATTCCTGGTCTCCCCTCAAATACTGAAGGATTTCTACTCCTGCACCATCGAGAGCATCCTTGCAGGGAACATCACAGCCTGGTATGGAAACAGCATCCTATACCACTGTTAGGCCCTGAAAAGAGCAATTTGTTGGCTGAACATACTATACGTGCTGCTTTACACTGCATAAAAGGACATTTACACCAGGTGCTGCAAGAATAAGGCCAGGAGAATCATCTAAGTTCTAAACCACCTGGATATCTGCCTTTGCTCCCTGTTGAGTTCAGGAAGAAGGTACTGGTTACACCAGGCAGCACTGAAAAGCTCAGGAGCTTCTACCCTCAGGACACAAGGATCCTAAATGAAGACACTGCCTGAGCCAGCCCTGTCTTATAGTCTTATATTCACTATTATGGTCCTTTTTTTAATGCACAATTTGATGGAACTGACAGGATTACATTTTAATGGATTATATTTTACATGACTTTCTGTGACAAAAAAAGATTGACCAGTCAATTGACATTCCCATCAGCCTCAGCTATACTTTGTGCTTGGTGCTGATTAGCAAATGTTAATGATGGCCAACATTGTAAAGATCATACCTGCCTAACATCAGCACCTTAGCATTGTCATTTTGATATGATGGCATGCAATGTTAGCATTGTGTTCAATGTCAATACCNTTTCTCCGCCATCTCGTTCAAATGAGCCAGACGAAGGGGGCGGGTATTTATACGTCATGGCCTCAAGCTGGAAAAGACTTCCTGTTAGGAACCTCTCGTGTTACCTTACTTATCGCACACCTAACAGATCCCTCCTAACGCCTAACGCTAACTCATTACTGGCAGGAATAAGAGACATGAGACGGCCTTAAAGATGGCGGAGCTCGAACGACTTCCGGTTCAAGTAAGTAGTTAGGAGTTAGCAGTATAAAATAAGAGACTTGGGACGTACCCCCTGACGGCTGGGAAATCCACCAGAGGTTCGTCTGGAAGCTGAGTTCTGTGGAGAGATTGTGACTGTAAACGCGGCCGTGTTGCTGTTTGGAGTACTGCGGTGGGCAAGTGCGGGAATATCGACCGACGGCCTGTATAGGTCCGGACCGGTGTTCCTGCTCTGCTTGTTGCGGTCTCTGGCAGTGGCTGTGTACGTTATCTGAGACGGTCAGAAGTACGCACGTGAATATTAACCTTTATTTTTCCTTCTCTGCTTCTGTTCTGTATACTCTCTTTGGGGCCTGGTAGTCTCTTTGATACATGGCTTCGGCCATGAGGGGTAACGGGGGAGGGGTGCAGGACTGGGAGAGAGGTGAGGACTGATCTAGATCTGTGGGGAAGCGTGATCGCTCGGACACCTCTCTGGAAAATGAAGATAGGAGACTGAAAATGGTAAAGCCTTTGGAAGAATTTAAAATTTTCTTCAAAATGAAGGATCAGGTTGCTGGAGGCTTTAGAGCTGTGAATCCGCTGAAGATTGCTGAGTCTCTTAGGTGTGTTGTAGAGGATATAGATGCACGAATCCTTCCCAGTGGGGTGCTTCTAGTGATGTGTAGCACTAGAGATCAACTTGGAAGAGCAAGAAAAATTGGGAAAATTGGAGGAAAGAAAGTGGAAATCTCAGTTTCGGAAAAGAAAAACGTGACTAAAGGTGTTATCTATGGTGTTTGTGCTGATGTGACAGAGAGAGAGAGATATTAGAAAACATTAAAGGAGGAGAAGTAAAGGAAGTGAAGCGTTTTAAAGCCAAAGAAGGGGGGAACCCAAACTCTCCAGTTTTGATAACCTTTGAGGGGAATTTTCTCCCAGCAAGGGTGTACATTGGCTGTCTGTCATACCAGGTGAAGCAGTTTCAAAGGTCTCCACTTTGGTGTTTTAAATGCCTAAGGTTTGGGCATATGGCTATGTCATGCAGAGGAGATAGGCGTTGTGCCAATTGTGGAGGTGACCATGATGTAGTGAACTGTGGAGTGTCAACTCCTAAATGTTGTAACTGTGGAGGAAGTCATTCGGCTTCATTTAAGGAGTGTGGCCACTTTATAAAAGCAAAGCAAGTTCAGGAGGTCAGGGATGAGCACAAGATCTCTTATGCGGAAGCTCTGAAGAAAGTGGAATGGGCTGGTGATGCAAGTACCCTTGGAAAAATGAGAACAGGTGGGCCTTTGTTGTCTCAATCGCCTCCATCCATCATAGCAAGGGATTAAATTGTGATAAAAAAAGAATCCTTGATGGCTTTCATTGTTGATGTACTGTACGGTGCTCGAGAAAAGAAGTCCAGATCTGATATAATTAAATGTGTGTCTGAAGCAGCAGTCAGGTTTTTGGGTCTGAAAGTCTTTGCTCCCCAATCTCTATATGACTACATGAGGTCAAGCCAAGAAAAGACAAGCTTCATTGACAGGGAGGATGATGAGGACGGAGAAGATATGGATGAGGGTGACTTCATTGAAGATTATGATGATGTTTAAATATTTATGATGTTCTGCATCCTCCAATGGAATGCACGAAGTTTAATCGCCAATGGCCAGGAGCTCAAAAAGCTAGTTCGAGACTGTGAAATAAAACCTGATCTAATTTATATCCAGGAGACATGGTTAAAGCCTCGTCTAGATTTTATTATTCCTGGATATGTATGCCTGCGTAAGGACAGGAATGACAGGCCAGGAGGAGGATGTGCTACTTTTGTTAAGTCCAATATGCAATATAGAATTTGTGAATGTGATACGTCTTTTGAAAATTTAATTGTTGAGGTATGGAGCCCCCAGGGGAAAATATGCATTGTTAATTTTTATAATCCTTGTAAACCCCTCATTCTATCTGAGCTTGAGAACATAATGAGTAAGGCTAGCAGCTCGCAAGTCATCTGGGTAGGAGATTTCAATGCCCACAACCCTCTGTGGGGAAGTAAGGATAGAGATACAAACGGGGAAATAATAGAGGAATTGTTAGATAACTCTAATTTAGTTATAATAAATGATGGACAACCGACCCACTTTGAAATTAAAACTTCTAAAAGGTCATGCTTAGACCTGACTCTGGCTCCACTGGCTCTTGCAAGGGTAGGGGAGTGGAGTGTCTTGAGTAAAGACTCAATGGGAAGTGATCACTTTCCAGTTTTATCCAATTTTGGAAGACCTCTCATAAAGAAATCAGAGGACAGAGTCAAACGATTTGATTTCTCTAGAGCAAAGTGGGATAAGTTTGAAGAGGGGATAGCTGCAGGCCTAGAGAGTATTTGCAGTGATGGGTCAATTGATGATTTTAACGATTCTTTAATAGCAATGATCTTGACTGCTGCTTCAGAAGCAATCCCCTTTAGAAAGATCCCTAAAGAGCTAGCCATAGTTCCATGGTGGAATAGCAAATGTAGCAAAGCTATAAGCATGAGGAAACTTGCGTTTAAAAAATTACGTAAGAACCCTTCCCAGGAAAATGTCATTAAATACAAGCGTTATTGTGCGTTGGTGAGGAAAACTGTCAAGAACGCAAAAAGGAAATGTTGGAGAAACTTTTGTGGGACGCTAGGACCAGACACTCCAGCCAAACAATTATGGTCTAGAATTCACAAAATGTCAGGAAAAGTTGTTAAAACAACAATTCCAGTTCTAAAGGACAGGCACACTGAGGCCATTTTTAGTAAAGATAAGGCAGACATGTGTGTTAAAACTTTCCAAGATGTGCATAATTCAAAAAGCCTAGGGCATGAAGGGTTGAGAGAAAGAGAAGAGCTCCTGAAAGCAGATGAATGGAAATTGAATTATGTAGGTGAAAGGAATAGGTCATATAATGCGTTTTTCTCGTTAAAAGAGCTTAAAGATGCAAAAACTGGGTTAAATACTACTCCAGGTCAGGACGGAATAAGCTATGAACTGCTTAAACACTTAGAAGAGGGAGCACTTGAAGAAATGTTGGCACTCTATAATTATGTTTGGGAGGCTGGAATGTTACCAACGAAATGGAAACATGCATTGGTTGTTCCTATTTTGAAGCCCGGAAAAGATCCATCTTCTCCATCATCCTATCGACCGATTGCATTAACATCAGTCATGTGTAAAGTAATGGAAAGAATGGTTACAAATAGGTTGATGCACTTCCTTGAATCTAATAATTTTTTTGTTAATTATCAAAATGGCTTTAGAATTGGCAGAAACACAATGGATTCTGTTGCTGTCCTTGATCAGGACATAAAGAAAGCTATTATAAATAAAGAAGCTGTGATCTGTGTTTTTCTAGATATAGAGAAAGCATATGACTCCATGTGGAGGGAGGGTGTGCTGATGAAGCTGCATGACGCTGGCGTTCATGGCAGAATGTTTTATTGGATTAAGGATTTCCTTAATCATAGAACTATTCAAGTGAGAATAGAAGGTATTGATTCTGAAATTGTTGTGGTTGAAAATGGTACACCGCAAGGTTCAGTTATTAGTCCAGTTCTCTTTAATGTTATGATAAATGATATCTTTGAAAATGTCCAACAAGGGTTTGGTAAATCATTGTTTGCAGATGATGGTGCCCTCTGGAGGAGAGGGAAAAACATGCATCACGTGTTCTGTCAAACACAACAGGCCTTAGATCAGGTTGTTAAGTGGGCAGACAAGTGGGGATTTAAAATCTCTGCACCCAAAAGTAAATTTATGGTTTTTGGCCTAAAAAGGAAGGTTCCCCCTCTAAACCTTACAATGATATACAGAGCAATAATAAGGTCTACTTTAGACTATGGATGTGTTGTATTTGGCTCAGCCTCCAAATCTGTGCTTGAGAAGTTGGATCAGCTTCAGGCCAAAGCTCTAAGAATATGTTGTGGAGCTTTCAGAACAACTCCAATACCAGCTCTGCTTGTTGAAATGGGGGAGGCTCCTCTAAGAATAAGGAGAGATAAGCTTGGGCTTCATTATTGGTATAAATTGTGTACTATTAAATGTGTCCCATTTGCTAAATGTCTTTTGGAAAACTGTTGGGAATTTGTTGGTAATGAAAGGAGGTCAAACTTCCTTAGTCATATTAAAAAGCTCGCCTTGACCTTTGGGCTTGAAGGAGACAGGATGTGCATGTCTCTCTGTTCCC